GCCATAATGGGGGCCAGCCGTGTAACTTGTGATGGTGACGGGGAGCTGATGAGGGGGAACCGACTGCTAGTCACATCAGCGTTTGGCACTCAGAGTGTTCCCTCAGCTCCGGCCCACTGCCGAGTGCTCTTGGCCATGTGCAGGCAGGTGGGGGATCCCCGGTGGTGTGTCCATGTTCCTGGGGTGGGACTCCTCTTATAGCACCCAGTTCCTCCGGGGCCTGTCCCAGGGGTCTCCCTCCTGCATGCTCAGATCCCCTCACTTGGCCCAGATTGGGCCACATGTCTGTAGGCCACACCAAGCAACCACAGGGGCCTTCCTGGTGGGACTGGGTGGTGTGACATTGGACAGGGTCTTGTAGACAGGAAAAGTGCTAGGCCAAGAATATTGGCAGAGGGACCTAGCTGGGTCCATGCGTGGGCTGTGGGGCCCCCACGGCAGTAAAGGTGTCAGGAGCCAGGGAGGTGATGGGTGAGGCTGGGTGGTCCGGCACCCAGTGTGGAGACAGTAGGAAGGGGTTTCCACTGGAGCCTGGGCCCTCCCAAACGGATGGAAGCTGCTAGGCAGGCCCAGTCTTGGAGCCTGTTAGATGGGGGCAGCACTGGGGGCTCTGTTTGGGTTCTCTGCATGTGCCCTCGGCTGGGCTCTTCCTCCCGGGAAGTCACAGCAGGCTCTGGTGGGCTGAGGCCTGGCATCCACCCTCTGGTTCCTTCAGGACATCTCCTTCAGGGCAATTCCATCTGGCCTGTGGCCAAGGCCTTCACACCAGGGACTCCGCCTCTCGCTGGATCGAGCAGTGTGGAAAGAGCCAGAGAGGAGCTCCGCCACAGCCCCTGGGTGGACCTCTGGGCCTGGGCTGGACGGAGCCTGTTTCAGAGCCAGAGCCTATGGGGTGGGGGGCAGAATTCTGTTCTCTCCTCTAGGGTGTCTGTGGGGACAGAGGGCAGGCACCACTGAGGTGTCTTGCAGCAGCCTGTTCCACTTTGAAGGCCATTGTGTGTTTTCTGAAATCTTGAGTCAGCTGCTGCTGGTGGCAAAGGAATGGGGCTGGGCCAGGGCCGCTTCTGCCACTCAAAGGGACCTTCTCTGCCATGTAGGGGACAGAACTTGGGGTCAGAGAGACTCAGGTGTGGCTGGGCTTCTGGGGCCCCTCTTGCACGGGCCCTTCCTGGCGCAGAGGCCCTGTATATCCCCAGACAAGCCCCAGACAGGCTTGTCCCTTGGTCCTGCCACCTTCTGGTCAGTGTCCATTATCTGCTGTCTGCCCTGTGAGACTGAGTGAATGAAGACTCAGTGACCAGGATCCAGAGAGGTCTGGGCTGGCTGACAGGTCATCTCAAATTGTGCCGAGGTCCAGGGGCCCCAGGCCAGCTCTGGGTGATGGGAGTGAAACTCAGGGGAACCAGCTTGTGGAAGCTAAGCTCGGGGGTCCTGGCGTGCGCCTGCCTGTTTGTTGCTGGAGGTGAGGAGGCTGAGACCTTCTGACCACACGGACTGCAGCCCAGGTCCTGGCGCCCACCCGGAGCTTCTGAGGCCCATCTCATGGAGTGTAAACCCACAGGTCCTCCTGGGACTGCCTCACCTGGCCCCTCTGAGAACCGAGGCCTGCAGGGGCTCACGGTCTCCCCTGGAAACAAATGTGCTGGCGTGAGGACATCACACTCTTAATAAGACAGCGTCCTGGAGCAGGCCTGCACACGAGGCCCCGGGATGCCCTGAAGTGATGGCGGTTCCTGCTGGCGCTCTGCCCATGTAGCCACTACTTGCAGGCTGATGCTGACAGGGGTTCCCTGAGTCATTAGGTAACATGGTTCCTAAATGGCAGAGCTGAGGGGAGGGGTGGGTCAGGCAGCCCACTTCACAGCCTGGGCCCCCACCACTCCCCATCCCTACACATGTGATCATAGGCCCCTCCAGACCTGGAGGTTGAGGCTCAGCGTATGTGGCCGGCCAGGAGTGGCCACAGCACAGGCCAGGTGTGCATCAAGGTGAGTTGCGGGCAGGTGTGCACTTAGAGCACAGGTGAGGGAGTCAGGGTCTGCCTGGACCAGGCTCATGGTTGAGAATCTCTCCGGTAGTTGGATACTCAGGAGTGACCGAAGCCGAGGCTGGTATGGGGTTCAAGGCGCACTCTGCAGGCTGGTTCCTCGTGCCTGGGGCTGTGTGCACGGGGAACCTTCCAACCTTCCACTGCATGTGACTCCATAGCAGAGACCCAAGGTCAGGAAAAGGGCTGGGGCAGGCAGCAAAGTGGCCCGCCCATGTCCCAGGGGAGCGTCTGAGGGCGTCAGCAGAGCCCTGGGTGCTCTCACCCCTCTGGGGAAGGCTGAGAGCCTCACTGTCCTGGGCTGAGGGCTGCAGGGCCCCGAGAACCTAATGTCCACACTTCTCCCCAGTGGACACCCCCACCCCCCACCTCTGGGACCCCTGAAGTACCTACTGCATGTGTGCGTGCCTGTGTGGTGTCCACATCTACACTCCAGCCTCAGCCCACTTAAGCAGGGCAGGGAGCCCTGGGTCAGGAGCCCTAGGTCAGGTTCCGTCCCACCCTGTCCCCAGGACACTGCGGTCCTGCCTGGCACTGGCCACTCCCGGCGCTGCACCCAGAGGCCGAGCATACGTCGCCTTTTAAGGCGAAGATCTGCTGTGAGAAGCCAGAAGGAAAACATTTCCCTGGCATTCGGGGAGCATTTTTCCTTCCTGTTTTTTTAAAATAAACCACTAGCAACTTTTCAAAACAGGAGAAAGAAAAGGACAGGGTCAAGGAGCTGCAGAGACCTTTCACCCTCATGCAACAACCTCCCCTCCCCCCAAACGTGGGCCTCACCAGGCCAGCAGGGGATAGGGATGCACAGAGAACCAGACTGCAACAGGTTCTCAGCACAGCCCCGAGGGCCCGTGCCCCACGCAAGGCCCGTAGTGCGTTTTCATCGGGCAGCGTGGCAGCGACAGGCCAGGAGTGGGCAGTTTGCTTCTCCTCCTGTAGGTGCTGAAGACCACAAGGGTGTGAGCTGGTGGGGCCCGGTCACATGCACTGGCTCCTAAGCCCAGGCCCTCAGCCTGCCTGTCCCCTGCTCACCCCCCAACCACAGCCCTCCCTGGTTTGCAGGAGGCTGGGCCAAGGAGAACAGCCCTCAGTGCAGTGGGCCCAAGGCTATCCCGACATTAGTGCCCACTGCTCTGCCCAGCGGGAGTGTGCCCACTGCTGACCCCTCACTACTGCAGGCAGGGAGGCTCTGTAAGAGGGGCTCCTTCCAGGACACACGCAGACCCTGCACTGGGCACGTTGGTCCGATTCTCCCTTGGGGCAGTGCAAGGCCGTGTCCCTCAGGCCTGTGGCTGCTCCTCAGGGCAAGGGGCCTCGCTAGGTGTTCTGTGCCTGCCCTCGGTTGCCCTCCGCCCGGTGAAAGGGGCCGCCTCCTACGTTATGCCCCCTTGAGAGTTTATAACCAAAGGTGGCCTTTTCTGGTCAATGACAGTATTGATTCGAGGTTAGTTTTCTAAAACTCATGATGTGTGTCATTAAAGAATTCAGTTGTTCAGTTAAGAACCAAGAGACTAATCCATGCTGTTAGGGATTTTTTTCCTTCGGTTTCCTCAAACTTTCCCCCAGGAACCCAATTCTAAACTTCAGAATGCTGGAGAACCCCTGTAGGTTGGCGGAGACCACAGCCTGCCCACTGCTGACCGTGGACAGTGAGGGGCCAGCAGAGGCCCCCGCACCATGATATTGGGTGGTCGCTGCTGGGACGGGTGTGTCCGAGATGCGCAGCCCTCTGCAAGACCCACTCACTAAGGGCATGTTTTGTCCGTTGTGGGCTCCCATGTACAACAGACACAGTGACTTGTGTCAAACCCGGCCTAGGCTGGCATTCCCAGCCGCGGGCTCTGGGTTGCTCTGTCAGGCAGTGTACTTCTTGGGGGATGCACTACCTCGTTGGCCTGCCCCGGCTACATGCACCACAGCCCCGGTTCCAGCCTCACGGGCAGCCAGAGGGGGGCTGGTTTTGTGGCTACGGCCTCCCCCACTGTGGAAAGGATGGGCCCCTTCAGCACCCAAGAGCTTTGGTTCATGGGGTTTAGCTACTGATGTTGACTGTATTCTAATGAAAGCAGACATCTCAAAAATATGTATTCATTTGTGTAAAAACATGTATCCGTTTTGTGTTTATAGCAGCATATTTTTATGGAAAAGAACTATTTCCTAAACAAAAAATTTTAGTGAGAAATGCTCCTTTCCGCCACTCTCTGTGACATCCGGCTTCCACCTCCCTCTGCCCCTGCCTGGCAGCCACACTGGTTGCTGGGGGAGCGTGACAGGTGTCCCCCAAGGAAGGGGGGCAAGTGGGACAGGTGTCCAGAGTGAGCCCGGGACCATGATGGTAGGAGGCCTGCAGTGGGGTGAGCCTCGGGGTGTCGGGCACACAGCAAGTGCTGAGTAGGCACGGGCCGCTGGGCCATCTGCACAGAAGGACGCACACCTGCATGGTGGGACTGTGCTCAGAGGCTCAGAGCCCAGGTGAATCATGCCATCCTTGTGTCCTGTGTGGTTGTCCTGCGTTGGGACCCCAGGCTCAAGGCATGGGCTAAGATGGCTGCAGGGCTGTAGTGTCACATGTGGAGCATGGGCTGACTAGTGTGGCTCCCACCCTACCCCTTCAGTGGGCCCAGAGCTGCCTGCCTGCCCTGGGTTCCAGGCTTGGCCCCTTGACTTCAGGCCTCCAGCTGGTGTCCTTACATCTCCTTCTCCCCTCTCAGAGGCAGGATGGCTGGCTCGTTTTGCATAGGTCCTTGGTGACGGTGGGGGAAGGCATGGGCGTAGGGCAGCTTCCTTCCACTTCTGGCACCTGGTGGGAACAGACTTTCCCAGGGTGTTGTCCCTGGAGACCCCCTTGGTGTGCCACTGGCAGGGACAGCCTCGCTTGTCTCCTGGGGCCCGGCCTGTGGCTTCCATGTTTCACTTGCCATGTGGTGATTCCATGCCCCCTTCTCACTGGCAGGAAGTCTAAAGCAAAGCCTAACGGGAAGAAGCCTGCAGCAGAGGAGAAGAAGATGTACCTGGAGCCTGAGTACACCAAGTCCAGGATCACAGACTTCGAATTCAAGGAGCTGGTGGTGCTGCCCCGGGAGATCGACCTCAACGAATGGCTGGCCAGCAACAGTGCGTGTGGGAGGGTCAGCCCATGCATGGCAGATGGCAGTGGGGCGCGGGGCGGGGTGGGGGCACCACAGCTTCTGCAGCTGGCAGGGAAGCAGTGAAGGTGGTCTGCTTCCTCAAGGACTCCCCAAAGCTGGTGATCAGCTCCCCACCCACTGCAGAGATTGTGCGGCCTGAGTGGCCCACTGCTAGGCAATAGCTCCCCAGGCAGGAAGCTGAGGCACAGGATGGCCAGCTGTGCAGTGCACTCGGGGTCCCACAGACAAAGGGGCATCGGTGTGGGTCCTGGATGCACAGAGGATGGGACACCAGTGCCAGGGAGGGACTGTGGGGCAGGAGGGCAGCTGCGAGGCTACCAGTGCTGGGTTGTGGGAAGGCCGCAGCCCATGGGAGAAGACAGCAGATCTCATCCCACCCACTGGGCAGGCCCGGGGCTCAGGGCTCATAGAATGCCACACGGAAGGTCGTGGAACCCACAGGGAGCCATTCTCTGAAGTGGGGTGGGCTTCATGGATGGTGAGCTAGAGTTGCCATCTGCATTAGTCAATGCCAAGGCAGATGTCCCTGATCCACTTGTTGTTTGTAAGAGCAGGGGTGTGGGTCCCAGGGCCCTGACCTCTTGCAGGGTAGGGGGCATGTTGGTCTGCCCCCACCCCTCAGAGAAAGGACTCGGATCTAGATGCCCACCAGCTCTTTGCGCAGCTTGGTGCTGTCCAGGCCCGTGCCCCCCACCCCTTGCATGGTGGCAGCTGGCAGCCAGCACCCAAGGCGAGTGCTCCACGCTGGGGACTTGTCTTGTCTCTGATAAGCGCTGGCTGCCCCAGGGTCCCAGGAAAGCTCTGTTGCTCCCGGGCCTGTGGGCAGTGGAGACAGGAACGATTCCGCGGCAATGGTTTTCATGCCTGGTCCTTCTCTTCTCTACCAGCCACGACATTTTTCCACCATGTCAACCTGCAGTATAGCACCATCTCGGAATTCTGCACAGGAGAGGCGTGCCAGACGATGGCCGTGTGCAACACGTGAGTTGCTGCCTGGTTGTGGCCTGGCCTGTGGGAACTAGGGTGGGCTGTGGGGCCGCAGCCTCTACTGCAGCACCCGTCTTCTTAGACCCCACTCTCACTGTGTCCCATGCGAGGCCTCCCAATGGTGCAAAGCCTTCCTCAACCCTGTCTTCCTGCTCCAACAGGGCCCAGGGCCTGACAGGAAAATAGGACACAGCCCATCAGGGAAGAGACACCCGTGATGGTGTCCCACTGGGACCCGGGACACCAGCAGCCGGCCAGAGACTGACAGGCTGTGTTTCTAGAGGCAGGGATGTTTCCACAGGACATGCCCAGGCTGGTTTCCTAAGACAACAGCACCATGAAGCTGGAAGTGCTTCCCTGCTTCAGTTAATTGTCCAGTCAAGTAACGGCTCTTCCTCAGAGCTCCTGCTTTGTGAGGGAGGGAGGAAGGAAGTGGGTGGTGAGGGCTGGGTGGAGGAGGCCTTCTCCCTTGGCTGGTTTCCTGGAGCTGGGATGCCTTCTTGGTGACTTCCCAACAGACCAGGTGCTGGTCATTCTCTTCTCGAAGCTCGGGCAGATGCATTTCCTCAGGAAGCAGGCATCCCTGAGGGGCTCCAAGGCACCCTGCCAGCTTTGTGGCAGCTCTTTATTTTCTTTTTTAAAGATTTCATTTTTCCTTTTTCTCCCAAACCCTCTGGTACATAGTTGTGTATTTTTAGTTGTGGGTACTTCTAGTTGTGGTATATGGGATGCCGCCTCAGCATGGCTTGATGAGCAGTGCCATGTCCGTACCCAGGATTTGAACCAGCAAAACCCTGGGCTGCCAAAGCAGAGCACACGAACTTAACCACTTGGCCACGGGGCCGGCCCCTCGCAGCAGCTCTTGAGCACGCTGTGGTAGGAAAGCTGCCACATGGCATGGACTTGCCACCAACTCCGAGTAGCATAAGTGATGGAAGATGGCCTCAGGCCAGAGGCTGGGTCTATAGGGGCTCAGCCTGGGGGTGTGTGGCAGAGGAGGAGGCACAGAAGCTCCTTTCTGATGTCTTCTTTTCATTGTGAGGGCCTGCAGGTCAGACACTGATAAAAGTGTATGTGAACTCCCAGCCTCTGCTGGTAAACACACATTTGTGTGTGCCATCCTGGGTTCATCCTGTCCACAGACACTGCTGGCCAGGCTCCAGGCACAGTCCTGGCACAGACCCAGCTTAGACCCTGACAAGCTGAGCTCTGCTCTTGCTGAGAACCCATCAAAAGCCTCAGCACAGGCAGATGGCAGAGGGTGCCCCCTGTTGGCGTTCAGCCCTTCTGGGCACCACTTTCATGGTCCCGATGTGTCACAGGCTGGGGCTGGGTCATGTGGGAGCAAGTGCAGACAACAGTCAGCTCTCCACTCCTTATTCACCCAGAGACAGCTGCTGATGGGATGCTCAGGTGTCACAAGTGTCCCCAGCTAGACACAGCCAGGCATGGCCCAAGGGAGGGTGGGCAGTGCTGGGTGGGCAGTGCTGGCAAGCTCAGGCCAGGAGGATGTTGTGGTGGGACAGAGTGGTCCCTGTGGAGTAGACCTGGAGGCAGATGTAAGGTGGGCGAGAGCGCCTGAGAGCGTTTATGGCATGCTCAGGAGGACTCCTACAGGCTACGCGCCTGGCCAGGCAGTGACAGTGGTGGCCCACAGAGCGGGCAGGTGGGGAAGCTGGGGCTCCCCTGCTGCTCTCTTCCCACGTGCCTTTCAGGATCAGTGTGTTTGAGAAGAGCTTCCTTGACAGAGCATAGGGTTTGGTGTCAGGCAGACCTGTGTCTAGACATTGGCTCTGCCATGTTAAACTTGGAGATGCAGGGAACTTAAATCCTTTCCTACTCCTCCTCCTCTTCGTCTGTAACATACTTCATAGGATTGTTGTAGATTTGTATGAGTGGGTGTATATGGCCTTCCTAGGAGTCATTTGAAATCAAGACGGAAACTCATACAAATTGAGTTAAAGAGAAAAAGGGAGGTTTGTCAGAGGTCCACAGAGCCACTTGCTGTCCCACGACCAGCAAGTCCACCAGGGCCCGGAGTGTGGCTGAGGCCTGTCTCCACCTGGCTGGTGCGTGTAGGACAGAAACCAGAGGGTAATGTTGGAGTTCCAAAAGGAGAGGAGAAAGGGCCATGCCAAAAACATACTTGAAGAAATAATGGCTGGAAACTTCCCAAGTTTCTAAAGACACAAACATACAAATTCAAGAAGCTGAATGAACTCCAAATAGGATAAACCTGATGAATCCACATATGGACATGTCGTGATCAAACTGCTGAAAACAAGAGACCTGAGCAGCAGCAGAGCTGGTGGCACAGCACCTGTGGGGGCAGCAGTGGGAGTGACTGTGCTCTCACCAGAAGCCCTGGGGCCAGGAGGACGCACCATGGTGTTTCCAAAGTGCTGAAAGGAAAGAACCGTCACCCCAGAGTGCTCCATCCAGTGAAAATGCCCTTTGGGAATGAAGTGAAATTAAGCTACTTCTCAGGTGAAGGAGATCTGAGAGAATTCATAGCCAGCAGGCCTGTTCCAAAAGAATTGCTACAGGGAGCTCTTGAGACTAAGGGCAATGACAGCAGAGGGCACGTGGAGCGTGAGAATGGAGGAGGAGCAAGAGAAATGAGGCAGATGCTAGACTGCTTCTCTCCTCTCAAGTTCTCTAAACGCGTTTGGTGGGTGAGCGGAGTCAGAACTCTGCCTCCCGGGCTCAGCGTCTGCAGGGGGAGCACAGAGACAATGCAGCACAGGGTGGGCAGAGGGGCCAGACCGGGGCAGTTTCTGCGTTCCAAAGTGCAACATGTTGGTTCAAGTGCAGCGTGAACAATGAAGTGACTGTTTTATAATCCTTTGAGCAGCCACTAAAAAAGCCACTAAAAATGATATACTGAAAATCATAGATAAAAGGAAATACTAAAAAATAATCCAAAAGAAGGCAGGAAAGAGGAAATCTGAGGAATGAAAAAGGGACAAATAGCAGCATATAATGAATTTAAATTGAAACAGACCAGTGATCACAGGCCACATCCGTGGTGAGAATGTGCCAGTTACAAGACAGAGATTATAGGAACCAATTTGTAACGAGCCAGCCATGCAGCATCTACAGGAAACTCACTTGAGATGCCGTGACATGGGCAGGTTAAAAGGGAAAGGATGAAAAAGGGACACCAACAAAACACTAACTAGAAGAAGCTGAAGGGGCTCTATTAATACCAGACAGAGTAGACTTCAGAGCAAAGAAAATAGCTGGGATACAGAAGAAGATTGCTTATCTACGAAAGGGCCAATTCATCAGCAAGTATTGATCTTGAATGTGTGTGCACTCAACAGCAGAGCTTGTACACAAAGCAGACAGAACTGAAAGGAAAATCAGACAAAGGTCACGTTATAGTTGGAGATTTCAACACCTCTCTCTTAGTAACAGACCTAGCAGACAGAAAATCAGCAAGAGTATAAAGCTAATGCCGTCAGCCAGCTGGGTTGAATTGGCATTTATAGAATACTCCACCCTCATCAGCAAAATACACCTTCTTTTCGAGTGTACAGGGAATATTCACCAAAGTAGATCAGATCCTGGCTCATAAAACAGCCCTGGACAAACTTGAGAGAGTCAGAGTCCTACAAAGTAAGTCATCTACCATAATGGAATTAAACTAGGAATCAGTAACAGAAAGATAAAAGGAAAATCTCCAAACATTTGGAAATTAACTCACTTCTAAATATCCCTGGGTCAGAGAAGATGTCTCAAGGGAAATTAGAGAATGTTTTAAACTGAACACAAATGCAAATACAGCATACCTGAGTTTGTGGATGCAGCTAAAGTGATGGTGAGAGGGAAATTTATAGGATGAAATGCTTATTTAGAAGAAGAAGAAAGGTCGTAAATCAACAATCTAAACTTCCATATTAAGAAACTAGAAAGAGAAGAGCAAAATAAACCCAAATTGAGCAGAAGAAAAGAAAGAATAAGATAAGAGCAGAAATCACTGAAACTGATTTCTGAAAATAATAGGGGAAATCAATGGAACCAAAAGCTGATTCCTTGAAAAGATCAATAAAATTGATAAATCTTGAGCAGGATTATCAGTATAAGGAGTGAAGGGAGGGGGTCAGTATAAACCCAGCAGATAGTAAAAGGATAATAAGGAAAATCACAAAAAGCTCTACGTACATAAATTTGATAGCTTAGATTACCCGGATCAACTGCTTAGAAAGCACAAAATACCAAAATTCACCCAAGATGGGTAATGCAATAAGGCAAGAGAAAGGAATGAAAGGCATCCAAGTTGGAAAAGAGGAAATGAAACTGTCCCTGTTTGCAGACAACATGATTGTTTATGTAGAAAACCCCGAAGATTCTAGCAAAAAGTGGAATAAATGAATAAATTTAGCAAGGCCAACACACAGAAATTAATCATAGTTCTGTATACCAGCAGTGTACGTTGGAACCCAGAACTAATAAAACTGTACCATTTACAAAACAATGACATACTCAGGTATAAACTGTAGGAAATGTGCACAGGATCTGTGTGCTGGAAACTACAAAATGCTGATGGACAAAATCAAAGACAACCTGAGTAGATAGATATTCTGTGTTCGTGGATTAGTAGACTCAACATGCTAAAATGTCAATTCCCCCCAAATTGATCTGTTCATTTAATGCAATCCCAATTGAAATCCTGGTGGAGTTGTGTAGATATCAACAAGCTGGTTGCACAGTTTACATGGAAGGGCAGTCACTGGAATGGCCACAGCAATTCTGAAAAAAGGAACAATGAAGATGGGAGAATCCCACTGCCCAGTTGTAGGACTTCCTGTGGGGCAGTCCTGCCAGGGAGGGAGGGAAGATTCCCTTGTCTTCTCATGAGGAGACACTGAGATGGACTTTGTCTCCTGTCCTCAGATGGTCTGACACGGGGCTGCCCCGTATCATGCCCACGTCAGGCAGGAGGATAGAGCAGAGACCCCTGGAGGGGGGAGGGCGCAGGGGCAGGAGCTCTGGCTGGGGAGCCTTGCTGGATATTTACTTCTGGGGCAGGCAGGAAGTTTTGCAGGCTTCTTAGGGCTTTGCTAGACTCCTTTGCTCATTCCTGAGCCTTGTGGGGCACATGGGACGTGTTGGTGCCTCGTGGTGCCCCGGGGCGGCCCTAGAGCAGATGTGACATGCTGTGGTGGCCGTGCAGGTGCAGTCTGCCATTTGCTGCGTCTGGGTTGCTCCCCAGACCTTCCACATTTAAGTGGGCAGGGCCTGGTGCCTGAGTGGCAGTCAGGGCTATATGGGCGGGCCTGCCCATTAGTGTCGGAGCTGTGCTTTCCCAGTCTTGCAGCCAACCCCCAGCCCTGCCCCTGGCACAAATGAGCTATAGATGCTCAGGGCTGAGAAGAATACCTGGTTCGCACTAGATGGAGGTTGGGATTCTGGGTAGAGGCAGCAGCAGCAGAATTGTCTCCAGGCCGCTCAGCCAGGCCATGCCTTTTCTCTTGGCTGGGGTCAGGCTGGCTGTGGGAGATGGGGCCTCCTGCTGTCCTGGCGACAGGCCTGGCAGGGTAGCAGGAGTGGTGAGCCCTCATGACTGTCACCCAGGGGCACTTCGTGAGCTCAGGAAATCAGGGCCAGATTACTCAGAGCCTCGGGTCCCAGCTCCAGGAGGTGGGGGGACATAGTCTAAGCCAGTTCCAAGGCCGAGTAAAGTCAGATAAATGAGTGGGGTTGGCCGGCAGAGGGAGGGGTCTGTGTGAAGCTCGGGAGGCTGTGCAGCTGGAGGGGGGCCCGGGTCTCTGTGTGGTGCTGTGACCTGCCCTTTCTGCCCCACAGACAGTACTACTGGCACGACGAGCGGGGCAAGAAGGTCAAGTGCACCGCCCCGCAGTACGTCGACTTTGTCATGAGCTCTGTGCAGAAGCTGGTGACTGATGAGGACGTGTTCCCCACGAAATATGGTAGGTCTCTCCTGGCAGAGCGCCCCTGGGCACAGGGTGGGTGTGGCTGCAGCTAAGGAGGTGGGAGGGTATAACCCGGGGAACTGGGCTGTAGTATGAGGCTGGCACCCTCCCGGCCAGGGTCAAGACCCCGCCCACCCCAGGCTCTGGGACCTGTGGCCTCCACTGCCCCCTGCAAGATATGGCTGTCCCAGCCACCTTGCTGGGGCTTGCGGGCTGGCGATCAGCAGCTGTGGCTGTGTCCAGACCTGGCCAGGGTGTGCTCTTGAGCTGCAGAGGGTGGCACCTGGCTGGCAGGAGATTCCCGGGTGCCTCACTTCCTTTCCTCCTCTGCAGCCCAGTCCACATAGGGAGCCACAGAGCATCTGTCAGGGAAACACATGTGACTTTGGGGCCGAGTCCAGGCTTTGGGTGGTGTGTGGCAGGGTTGCAGGCCCCTCTCTCAGAGGCGGCCAGTACAGCTCAGCGAGGACCCACCCTCCAGGCAGCCCACGAGATGCAGCTCTCAGAGGCCAGGCCTGGGGTGACAAGTCACTCAAGTGCCTGCTGATGGCCTTTCAGTAGAGGCTACAGGGTTGGGGGGCAGGCAGCGAGTGGGCCCTCCAGGCTGGTCCTGCAGAAAGTGCCGGGTTCTGGGAGGCTGGAGAAGCCTGTCTGGTCTCCTCGTTCCTGCCTGGTGGGAGCTGGGCAGGCACGTCCTTCCTCGGGCACCCGCCTAGGAGGGGCCTCAGGGACAGAACAGAGTACAGGCTGACACTGCGGCACCTCTCCCTAGGCAGAGAATTCCCCAGCTCCTTCGAGTCTCTGGTGAAGAAGATCTGCAAGTACCTGTTCCACGTGCTGGCACACATCTACTCGTCCCACTTCAAGGAGACCCTGGCCCTCGAGCTGCACGGACACTTGAATACACTCTATGTCCACTTCATCCTCTTTGCCAGGGAGTTCAACCTGCTTGACCCCAAAGAGACCGCCGTCATGGACGACCTCACAGAGGTGCTGTGCAGCAGCGGGGGCCGCGGCGGGGGCAGCGGGGATGGGGCTGGCAGTGGGGGCATGGGGGCACAGAACCACGTGAAGGAGAGGTGAGCCCCCGGCCAGCAGGCGTGCACGTGTGCAGAGAGACGGTGATACGGGTGCTGCGCGTGTCTGCGTGTGCGCACACGTGCTGGCACGCTCGGCTGGAGGTCGGAGGTGATGCTGGCCGCGGGCCAGCTGCACAGAGGGGGGCCCCCCAGAAGCCGGCGGGCACAGCACGTCTGACTCCCCGCCGTGGTTTCCTGTTGGATGGATAAGTGCCGCTTATCACGAAGAACCCTTGGACTTCCTTCACTCGCTCAACAAATGTTCATGGGACTGACGATCTGCGTTTCCTCCTGTGGGGTTCCTTCCTTTGGTCTTCCATGCGGCCCGGCCCCACCTCCCCCCGGGGCTCTGCTGTTTGAGAGAAATCCACCAGGAGGACGGGCTTCCCCAGGAGGCTTGACGTCTGGTTCCACTTGGTTTGGTTTTGTTTTCAGGGGTGGGGTTATTTTTAGAGATTCCTCCCCGGGTCCCCCCACCTCTCTCCTAGCGTAGCCTGGATCTTGGCTTTCAGGAGCTCAGAGAGGGTGGAGAAGGGGAGGCTGGGGGTGCCTGGAGGGGCCCCGAGCCTGTGGCCGTGTCCCCCTCCTCATGCCCCCGCAGCCCAGGAGGGAGCCTCTGGAAGCTGGGCTCAGGACCGAGGTGCCTGGGGCGGGAGGCCTGTGCAGAGACGCAGCTGTCAGCAGAAGGCAGCATCGCTCTCTCGGCCCACCTGTTCAGCGGTAATAAAAAGAATTCTCTCAGGTCAGTGCCTGTGTGTGTCCTCAGCGTCTTGGTGACCCATGCTGAGGGCGCTGGGGCCAGTGTGGGACTGAGGGTGGCCTGGCCCTGCACCCCGAGGCCACTGCCTGCTTCTCTGCCCACCCCACAGGTGGTCCCTGCACACCCCCTGGGGCCAGGCCCTTGCCTGCTGCCTGGGAGGTGTGGAGTTCTCACTGGCATCCAGGGCCCGTGCTGGCCGATGGCAGGCACTGCCCTTCTTGCCAGGGCCAAGCACAGTCTCCCCCTGCTGACCCGTGTCCACAGCGGCCTGCAGGGCCACAGGAAGCCTGGAGCCAGGGAACACACCTGTGTCACAAGTCCCCAGGGGGCTTTGGTCACTCCTCCTGTGCTGTGCCCTCCCCGTGCAGGTAGCAGGGACCCTGGAGTGGGGGCTGGAGTTGGCTAGGGAGTTTTCCTGGCCAGCGTGCTGGAGGGGCTCCACTGCAGGTGCCAGCCCTGGCCAGGACAGCATGGTCCGAGGGTGGCTTAGGGGAGAGCTTGGGGAGGGGGTGAGTGCCTGCAGTGGGGTCAGGGCAGGGCTTGGGGAACAAATGGGGGAGTGAGGCATGAGCTGAACCCTGGAGCTTGTCTAGGTTCCGTGTGGGCAGAGAGGAGGGGGCTCCAGTGGGGACCCCCCCACCCTCCCTGATACCATGCCTGGTGATAGGTCAGCCTTCTCTGGTGGTTGACTCCTGTCCTGCTCACCTCTTGTGCACCCCTTAAATGGCAGGGGCCCTGGGCTCTGTCTCCCAGCTCGTGTGGCCACCAGGTCCTTCCCCCGCCCGCCTTCTCTCCGGACCTCTTCTGTGGCCTCTTCATTGCTCCTGGCATGGCGTCTCCTCCTCCTGCCCCTGAGAGTTGCTCCCCACCTGACAGCCCTGGGGTTCCCCAGAAAATCCAAGTGCACCCTCGGGGGCCCTGTCCTCTTATCTCCCCACCGGGGCCCTGCACCATCTCCCTGACCCCTCCCTGCACCAGAGCAGCTGCACAGTGGTCAACTGGGAGCAGCTTTAAAACTCCCCGTGCTTGAAAACGAAGACCAACCCTGTTGACTCAGTCCCTGGAGATGGAGGGTAGACATCAGAATTTTTTTTTTTTGAGGAAGATTAGCTGTGAGCTAACATCCGCCACCAATCCTCCTCTGAGGATTGCTGAGGAAGACTGGCCCTGAGCTAACATCCATGCCCATCTTCCTCTGCTTTATATTTGGGACACCTGCCACAGCATGGCTTGATGAGCAGTGTGTAGGTCCATACCTGGGATCTGAACTGGCAAACCCTGGGCCACCGAAGCGGAATGTGTGAACTTAACTGCTGCGCCACTGGGCCAGCCCCCAGAATTGTTTTAACATGACTTTAACATGCACAGTTCCAGAAGGTTCCACTCAAATTACCTGCTGAGCTCACTCATGCTCAGAGCCTCTGGGCAAGTGCCACCTTCCCTGCAGGAAGGCTTCTGGGCTCTCCTCTGCCCCTCCGAGCCCATGGCCGCCTTGCCGAGGCTTGTGCCTCTGTTCCCACCTAGCCTGGGCTCAGCAAAGCCAGGCCAGCCTCTTCCCCTGCCTGCCCCCAAGTCACTGGATGCCTCTGGCAGCATCCTGGCTGTGCCTGTCACCAGCTGGGAGGCCTTACCAGTCCCTTTAGCCATGACCCCACAATGAGGCTGGGAGGTGTTGACTCAGCTCCCACTACCCCATTCCCTGCAGGTGCCTCTTGAAAGGATGAGCTCCTGGCTGGCCTGTGTGCAGCCTGCCACCCCACTGCTTCCTAAACCCTGCAGACAAGAGCTCTGTGCCCAGCCAGGGAAGCCACAGCCCCTCCTGGGCAAGGCCTGGCCTGGGAGCCTCCTTCAGGTCACCCCCCTCCATCTGTCATGCCCTCCTTCTTAGTCATCCTGGCCTCACTGTGGACACTCAGCCCACCTGGCTGCACGGGCCCCTTCCCCCGGGTGTGCCTCACCCATGTGTCTTTCCCGTCTCTCTAGTGTATTTTCCACGTGAATTGGACCCCCGAAGTAGAGGTCTCAGGATGCCCGTGGCACTTAACCACAGGGCTAAATGTGGGAGCCAAAGGCAGGGCTCTGGCCTGGCCTGGGGTATCAAGGACCTCCTGAGGCCTGCAGGGAGCAGACCAGGCACACAGGCTGTGTCCCATGTGTGTTTAGGCTGCTGGGTGGAGGCCTGGAGTAGGGAGGTGGTGAAACTGGCCCTGAGGTGGGAGTGGGAGCAGTCCGGCTGGCCGATGTGGGGACTGGAGATGCCAGCAGGACACTGGAATGTCCAAGTCGAGCTGCTGGATGGAGCTGAGATACAGAGCATGTGTAGAGGGGGTGACATTTCCATGAGGAGCCACAGGACATCTGCAGGGAGGTGTCTAGGACACACGTGGTCATGTTGGTCTGACTCAGGAAGGAGCTATGGAATCCCCGGGCATGTGGGTGTCGTGGGCACGGCACTGGTCATTGGGACCTCAGGAAGTCCACCCAGGAAGGGCCAGGTGGCCAGGATGAAGACCAGCACTGGTTGTTCTGGGAGTGCCTCCTGCTGGACTGTGCGCCGGCTGAGCCAACCCACACACCTCCCAAGGGTGAGGACAGTGCCCCGTGCTCTCCACCAGCTGGCTGGCTCCTTGCTGAACGACCTGCAGAGTCCTGGCCCACTCAGATCTTGGGGGAGGCTTCTTGCCTCTGCCTCAGTTTCCCAGCCTGCAGTGAGGTGGCTGCACATGGCTCCTGGGTTTTGCCTGCAGTGAGGCAGTGGGGCGCAGCTTAAGGCATGCAGACTCGGGGCTGAGTCCCAGCTGTGCCCTGATGAACTGTTCGCTTACCCATCCCTGAGTCTTGGATCACCCAGTCCTGTTAGCTCTGTTCTGGACATCCCCCCAAAGGTGTCCGTGTCCTAATCCCTGGGACCTATGAATACACTGCCTTACCTCGCAACGGAGAATTAAAGATGCTGAAGGAGTTACAGTTGCTAATGAGCCAACCTTGAGACAGGAGCATGTCCTGGATTGACCAGGTGGACCTAACGTCATCACAAGGGTCCTCGTACATGGAAGACGGAGGCGGAATAGGGAGTACCAGAGAGAGGCAGCACAAGAAAGATTTGGCCCAATGTGGATAGAAGAAGGGGCCATGAATCAGGGAACTTGGGCCCGTCTAGAAGCTGGAAAGGAAAACAATTTCTCCCTTTCCCCTGGAGCCTCCAGAAGGAACTAGCCCTGCTGACACCTTGATTTTAACCCAGTGAGATCCATTTTGGATTTCTGACTTCCACAACTGTAAGATAACAAACTTATCTTGTCATGAGCCACTAAGTTTATGGTAATTTGTTACAGCAGTGATAGGAAATGAATGCAGATTTTGGTCGCAGGAGTAGGGTGCTACTGTAACAAATACCTAAAAATGTAGAAGTGGCTTTGGGAATAGGCAATGCAGAGGCTGGAGGAATTTTGAAGGGCATGATAGAAAAAGCCTAGATTTCCTTAAACATGTTGTTGGTAGAAGTATGGATGTTAACAACTCTGCTACTGAAGACTCAGAAATAAATGAGGGGCACAGCAAAGGAAACCTAATTCACCACTAAGAATACCAAAAATCATCCTGAACAGCCTGTTAGTAGAAATATGAATGTTAAAGGCATTGTTGGTGAGGCCTGAGGGAGATGAAGACTGTGCCACTGGAAATTGGAGGAAAGGAGGTCCTTGTTATATGGTGATACATAGCAGAAAGACTAGCTGAATTCTGTCCTCCTACAGTTAATGGAAAGCAGGACTTGTAAATAATCAACCTGGATATTTAGCTGAGATTTCCAAGCAAAATTTTGAAGGTGCAGCCTGGTTTCTTGCTGCTTATAGTAAAATGTGAGAGGAAAGAGAAATTGGGGGAGGAGCTGTTAAGCAAAAGGAAACCTGAGTTTGATGATTTGGGGAATTCTCAGGCAAGCCAGATTGCAGAAGACACTAGAATTAGGAGGTTCACTGTCAGGAAAATGTGCTCTGGAGAAAAAGTTGAGAGTGAAGCTGGACAGCCTTCTGCTAATACCTGAGAAGACGAACAAGCTCAGAGTATTCAGTCACAGGGAGGGCTCTTGGAGGAGGTCAAGCGTGTGACTAATAGTTACCACAGTCGTCTCAGGAAAGCCAAAAACAGAAAATTTTCTCTTGGAAGGATCTGGAGGAACACCTTGTCTTATGGAGTGAATCTCCATGACACATACAGGAGATTCACATGGTTCTTGAGAATTTTATACCATCAGAAACCCTGACAGCTTGGACTGAAAGGGTCAGTGAGAGGATGAAGTGAAAGGCTGTTGGACCCCCCAAGATACTATGGGCAGGAAACAGACTGATAAAACCTCAGCTGCAAATGCTTGCTACCTTTCTTTAAAAAGGAAGTCTAAGCCGGAGGGTGGAGCTGGGTATCCAGAGGGCAGAGCCTTGAGCCACAGAGGATTACTCCTAGGCCTGATGGGCGCCTAGCGGAGTTGGCCCAGCTGGGTTTTGAAATTGCTTGGGACTAGTGATACCTATCTCCTCCTTCGTTTCTCCCCTTTTGGATGGAAATGTCCATGACTGGCATCGTATGCCTGTCCTACCATTGTATTTTGGAAGCAGATAGCTTTTCTAGTTTTAAAGGCCCACATATGGAGAGGAATTTTGCAGTAGGATGGATCATACTCAAAGTCTTCACATACCCACACCTGAATCAGATGATTTAGGTGAGATTTGGGCTTTTGAGCTGTTGAGATTTAGATGAGGTTTCGTGTTTGACTTGATACTGTAATGGGTTGAGCCTTTTGGGGACCTTGGAATGGAGTGAGTGTATTTTCCATGTGAATTGGATGTGAAACTTGCTAGAAGGCAGTCTGTGCTTGGCAGAATAATGCCCACCCCCCAGTGTCCACATCCTCACCCCTGGAACTTGTGACTATGCCTGTCACCTCATGTAGCAAAGGGGAATTAAAGTTGCTAATCACTTGAACTTGAGATGGAGAGATTATCTGGGCCCAGTATAATCACAAGATTCCTTAAAACTGGAAGAGGGAGGCAGAGGAGGGAGAATCAGAGAGATGGCAGCGTGCGGACTCAGCTGATGTTCCTGACTCTGCAGACAGAGGAAGGGGCCACGAGCCGAGGATTACAGGTGCCTCCAGAAGCTGGAAAAGGCAAGGAAATGGATTCTCCTCCAGAGGGGATGCAGCCCTGCCAACATCTTGATTTTAGCCCAGTGAGACCCACTTAAGTGAGACTCAGTTCTTGGCCTCCGGTCCAGAACTTAAGATAACAAATTTGTGTTGTTTTAAGCCATTAGGTTTGTGGTAACTTGTTACAGCAACAGTAGGAAACGAATATATCTGTAGGATGGGCCATGGAGCTCTTAGCGCCATTTTGAGGGCATAAGGAGATGATCCATGAAGGCACTTAGCTCAGCGCCTGACTCCAAGGATGTGTGACAGACAGCAGGGCTTGGGCTGGTGACCAACAGCATAGACTCCACAATCCCACCTGAGCCCCAAGGCTGGCACTCAGCTTCCCGGATCAGAGATGCTCCTTCCTTGCCTCTGTCAGTCCTGGCTGCGTTTCTCCTCAAGTAGACATCGCTGTCTTGACATTCACCACCAGTCCTCTCCGTGTCACTGGCTGTCCTCTCTGCTCCCCGCTAAGCTCCGTCTCTTTCTGAATCACACCAAAAGAGACTTGGGTTGGTGGTGGGGAGTGGGGTGGATCCAGGAAACAGAAAGTGTGAAGGGGGAGGGGCTGGCCCTGTGGCTGAGTGGTTAAGTTTGCGTGCTCCGCTGCAGGCGACCCTGTGTTTCGTTGGTTTAAATCCTGGGCTCGGACATGGCACTGCTCATCAAGCCACGCTGAGGCAGCGTCCCGCATGCCACAACTAGAAGGACCCACAACGAAGAATATACAACTGTGTGCCAGGGGGTTTTGGGGGGAAAAAGGAAAAAAATAAAAGCTTTAAAAAAAAAAAAGATATGTTATCTAATATTTAAAAAAAAGTCAGTGAAGAAGGGGGCACTGGACTTGGTGATTCAACTCCTGCTGGCCTTGGGTGAGGGCAGGGGGAGTGGGCACTGAACTACAGGGAGAAGGGAGGGCAGGACTAGGAGGCAGAGCCATCAGCGAGGGCCAGGCCACCTCCAGTGGTGAGCTCCCTGGCAAGGGAGGTACGTCAGCAGGGCTCCTATAGGAAGCCTGAAGCCGGCTGTAGGACTTTGAGGATCCAGCCTGCTTCTCCAAGCTCTGAGGCCTCATGACACCAGGAATTGCTCCTTCTCATAGGTTGGGAGCCTGTGAGGCACTCAGCTGGCGGTGTGGTCAGAGTCCAGGGCAGATTCTTGTCAGAGCAGAGCTAGGGCTGGGCTGCTGCTCGCATTTCCTCCTTTGTGCCTCCACCCTGCCCATGCCACCTGCCAGCACACAGAGCCCCAGGGGAGACATGCATCATGTCCAGCAGTCATCCGTGATTTCTGTGGTAGGCACACCCCAGCCAATGTGCTCATCAGCACCCCAGCTCCCAGGCCAGGCAGTGCCAGGCACCCGAAATGTGCCAGTTGAGTTAGCCACCTGAGAACTCAGAATGGGACATGGGAGGTCATCCCCTCACCAGGTGCTAGACCCACCATCTTTTTGGTTTTTTTACATACCCATTTAATTTCTACTTCATAGAAATAGTCTGAAGACCACTTGGTTTAATGTTCAGTGGAAGGTGCTCAGAATAGTGTCTGGCACATAGTTAAGTCCTTATGTATTGGTTTTTATTTTATATATTTTTTATTTCATATTAGCAAATATTAATACTAACAGTTTTTGGCTTAACTGGCCTTGGTTTCTGTTACTTACAACAAGAGAGACCTTGGTGTCGGAAGTGGGATTGTGGAACACAGAACCTTCCCATGGAAGGGGTGTGGTGGTGGGCAGATGGAAAGCTAGCAGATGTGTCGGGTATTCTGTCCTATTTGGGGGGGGCTCCAATCACGTGCCTGTTAAGGCTGACACTTTAGACTGCAAACCTTTAGAAGACCAGCAGAGGAAGATTGGGAGGTGTCTGTGCGTCAGCTGCTCTTTAGTAAAGCATGTGCAAAACCACAGGTTAAGAAAACTTTTCCTGTGGCCAGCAACCTGGGACCCCAAGAGCCCGATAATCATCATGTGCCTTGCTGAACTGTAGCAACCAAATTCTTTCCTTCAACCTGTTTTTTTAAGCTAAAGTTAACAGAACACTGCAGCCCAGTGATTGCCATAGAGCCTGGTCCTCTCAGCCTCTCCAAGGTACCTTCTGGGTACCCACCTCCCTCAAAGGCGGGGTGATGTTCCAGGGCTGGGCAGAGGAGGAAGACCCCAGCTGCACGTCAGCAGACTTTTTCATGTCCTGGGTCTTGAGCAGAGCTGGAGACAGCTGCCATTCCTGCAGAGCTCCCAAGCTCACAACTAAGCCAGAGAAGCATGGTGCACTTGTGGCTGTCTGCTCCAGCAAGATGGTATAGGAGGTAAGAGTATGAATGCTACAGCCGATTCCGCCCCCCAGGGGATGGTGGCAATGTCTGGGAACAGTTTTGCTTGTCACACGGGGGTGGGGGGGCAGCTAAAGGCATCTAATGGGTAGAGACCAGGAATGATGGTGACATTTGACAACGTGCGGGTGGGGCCACCAGAGAATCGAACCTCAGCAGTGCTGCAGCACAGGATCCTGCCCTGGAGTCAGGCTCTGCCACCGGGCCAAGCGTCTGTGCTTTGCCTGCTCTCCTTCGTGTATGGGGGAGTGTGTGTGTGAGAGAGGCCAGAGGGCTTCGTGGGTGTCCTAGTCTCTGCTTGGACCCCTTGACAAGGATTGCTCCTCGTCTGTCCTCGAGGCTGTGGTGGAATCCCAGGCGCAGCCCTTGTGACATGGGGCTGGGCGGCCCCATGGTTTTCAGGGGGCTGGACCTGTCCTTCACGCTGCAGCAGCAGAGCGGGAGGCTGGCCAGTGCGTGGTCATGGTGCCTACATCCCCAGCTGGTGAGAGTGGTGGGCACGGCTGGGACCATCCCCTACGCTGTGAGAGGCCAGCCTGTGGTCTCCAAGGGCTGCCCGCTAGCCTTGGCCCATTGCTTTCAGGGCGAGGCCACAGTGCTGCATCCTTCTTTTCCCCAGAAAGGAGTGGAAAGAATGTTTGTCCTCCAGGACAAAGCCGAGATGCTGGGATGACCCCTGAGATCCCTGGTAACCGCAATGCTGCAGTGCCAGGCAGGGAGTGGTGCTCACTGGCGCCACCCTCTTCCCACCCCCCAGAGCTCCATGTCAGCCTCGGGGGCCCTTCCCTAGGCCTCCGGCCTCTCCTCCCACCCAGCCCCGCCCAGCATGTGGTCCGCCTCAGGCTGGGGGCAGCCTAAGAGGGCACCTCCCACCCCTGCACAGGGGTCTGTCCTTTTCAGCTGGGGCAGAAGTTAGTGCCATCCACACCTGGCAGAGCCCAGAGGAGCGCATGCTAGGGACAAGAGCCAGTCCCAGGTTGTCCTCCGTCCCTGCCCCGCCCACCCACCTGGACGGAGACTGGCGTCGAGTGTCTTTACTGAAGGAATTTATTGTTCCGGAACTAAAGTTGCTCACAGTTATTGGACAGGGAATACACTGAGTGGGGCTTGTCCGGGTCGTGATGTCTGCGTGTGTCCCAAGTACAAAAGAGGAAGGCGAACAAGAGGTATTGCTTTCGGCGTCCTCTGTCTCTGGAGCAGCCCCTCCCGCTGTACGGCGTGGCTGTTGCTGATATGGGTGTTGAATTTTTCTTACGTGTGGAAATCCCAGCCTGCAGGAGGGGGTCAATGTAATAGAAGCGGTAAAATCCACCCGCAACGGGCGGGGCAGCGGGAGACACCAAAGCAAAATGGACTGACCAAGCCGAGGCATGCATCCCGGCCACCGGGCTGGCCGCACCCACAGAAGAAACTCGAGCAGAAGCGGCCCAGCTGAAGTGTCCCAAGAACACACTGCAGAGAGTGCTGCTCACTTTCTCTTTTGTCCTTTGTTTTCCTTTTTTTTTTTACTTTTTGTCATTTTAGTAAAAAACCGCTGCAGTGCCCCTGCCGTCCTGTGTGTGGGTGAGGCCGGCTCGGGGCCCTCCTCTGCCACCCACTCTCGGACACAGAACAGAGATGGCCCTGGCCTGGGCCTGACGACCTCAGCCGCAGGAGTGACCGCGCAGTCTTTAAATATATATATGTGTGTATGTCTATAGAAAGAACCAAGAGCCAAGACCTGAACACAAAGCCTCACCCTGCCCGGCGGCTCCCACACACCCTTTTCCAAAAAGAACCAAGAAAACGAAGTTTATAAAAATATCTTGCAGGAATTCTTTAAAGTTTACAGTAGTTGCTGGCGCCGCACCCACCGGCCTGCCCCCCGGCACTCCAACGGCTCCGTCCTTGGCCCCTCGGCCCCGGACCCCACCCTGCCCGAGACACACACACACACACACGGACACACACAGACAGACGGCAGGAAGACGCTGCTGCTGCCCCTTCCCTGAACAGAGAAGTAAAGACACTCAATAAGTTAAAACAGCAAATAAATAACACTGATGTGGGCCGGCCCCGGGGCGGGCAGGCGGCTCTGGGGCCTCTGAGGTCTCTCCACCTCAGCCAGGAAGGACGCCAGCGCCCGAGAGAGCGCAGCAGCCCCGCCCCGTGAGTCATGGAGGACTGGGATGCAAACTAGTGGCGGGGGCGGCGCCAAGGTGCTGGGACGAGGAGAGGGTGCGGCGGGGAGGAGAGGTGCCGAGGAGAGGCTGCGGGCAGGCTGGCTGGGCGCCTATGGCCGCTTCGCCCACCACAGGCTGCGCCCTGGAGGTGGCCTGGGCAGGCTGGACCTGCCGAGGGCTCTAGTCACTGCGAGTCCGATCTGCTGGGCTGGAGGTGGCTTCCCCTCGGAGCCAGGTCCTCCTCCCCCTGGCCATGCGGAGCTGAAACGGGGCAGAGCCACCCGCAGGCAGGTGGATGGAGGCGGCGGGTGGGCAGGCCTCGCCGCCCGGCAGGCAGCAGCAGGAGAGGGCAGGTCCACAGCAGCTGCCTTCGGTCAGCTCGTGTCCAGCGCGGAGCACAGAGGATGGCCTCGTGGAGGTGACATGTTAACTTTTCGGGATAATTCCTGGTATCAGAGTGGAAACAGTGACGTTGTAAGAGACAGGCAGAGAGACAGACAGCGAGAGAAGGAGAGAGCGGGCACGGGCAGGCCCAGCCGCACGGTCCCCCTCTCCTTCCCTCCCCGGCTTCACAACAGTCTAGACGGACAGATGGGCGCGGCCCTGGTCCACGCAGGGCGGGCAGCGGGTGGCGAGTGGGCGGTGAGGCGGCCTTGGTGGCCACTGTCAGGGCCGTGCTGGGGGAGGGGCTATGTGTCTAAGGCTGCTCGCGGCGGGCGGCGGGCGGCCCCGTCTTGGCCATGTCCTTGCCCGTTGGGTACTCGGCGTCCCCTCCAGGGCCGGGGCCAGCGGCCGCGGAGTCACCGAGTGGGCTGTGGGCACTCCGCTTGGCGGGCGTGCTGGGGGCCTGGGCCGCCTGCCCGTTCTTCTCGTCTGAAAAAAGTTGTTTAATTACGTCAAAGAAGTTACTCAATGGGCTGCCTGGGTACACAGAACAGAAGACAAAAGAAAAAAAAGAAAAAAGAAAAAAAGGCAGAGAAAGAGGGAGGGAGGGAAGGAGAGAGAAAGAACAAACAAGGAATTGAACGGAAGAGCCTTGACAAAGAAGAAACCCACGAGCTGAGGTCTGAGATGGTGGGGACAGGCGGGGATGGGCGGGCAGCAAGCAGGGTGGGCAGGCGGCCGCGGGTCCCTATGCGCCAGGGGCTGGCAGCAGGGGCTGGTGTGGTAGAACCGGAAGCTGGGACCCCCTTGGCCTCCCAGCTGGGGAGCCAGACCCTAGGCAGGTGGAGAGACCCTCCCCCTCGCAGGCCTGGCCCTAAAGGCCTGGCCACGCCTCCTCCTTAGCCACGCCTCCCCTCATCAGCCCTGTGGCCTTGCCGGCTGGCCAGCCCCACTCTGAAAACGGAGGCACAAAGACCAGGGCTGAGCAGGACCTGGGCCGGTGGCTGGCTCCTTGCACGAGGCTGCAGAGCTTGCTCTGGGCTGAGGAAGCCAGAGCCAGTGCGCCTGCCACACTCCTCCCAGGAGGCCTGGAGCCCGGCCCCTGGCCAGCCCAGCCAGCACAGCGTGGACACAGGTCAGCAGCAGACAGACAGATGGACGGATGGGTGGACAGGCATGGAGAGCTTGGGTGTGGGAGGGCTAGGGGCAGGCAGCCAGAGTGGGGGCCCTGGTCCCAAAGGGCATGTCCTGAGGGCTGGAGGAAGGGGGCAGAAATGGGGCGCCATCCCCCACTAGGTGCCCTGTGCTCACTGTCCAGGTGCACTGACAGGCACCTCAGCTCTATTTCCTAAACCTGATGCCTACCTGGGCCCAGAGCACAGGGGCCCTTCCCTCCCGCAGGTGCAGCAGGAGGCAGTGCATGCGCGTCGAGGGAGCTCACAGCCTCAGCAGGAGTGGGCCCCCCGCCCCGTGCCAGCGGACAGAGGGCCTGACACCAGACCCTGCCCAAGGACTGGAGTCCACCCTGACCCCAGGCCAGAGCCTGCATATGGGGCCCTTGCTGGCCTCCGGGAATGGGGTGCCTTTCTTGCTTGGAGGCTTGGGGTCCCTCCCTGGCCTATGCTGATGCGTGGGCTGGCCTGTGGCGAGTGGCCAAGGCTGCTCCCAGCAGAGGCAGGGGGCTGGGCAGTTGGGGCCTGTGCCGGCCGCGTGTGTGTGCCGGCCCACGTGTACACAGGGACCCCAGGACAGCCCCAGGGGTGGCGGGTGGGGGTGAGCGGTGGGGGTGACAGGCTGGGGGCCCAGGTGAGCGTAAGGGGTTCTTACCACATTTGGAAAGCCTCCCCGTCATCATTTCCATACAGTTAGTGGTGTCTGGAGCACAGAACGGAGAGAGGAGGGGGGAGACGTGTGAAAAAGGCTTTCCACCGGGCCCTCGGGCTGGGCACTGCCCACAGCCTCTGGCCAGGCCCTCAGGGAGGGGGCCGAGTCTGGGGCCCCGGAGGGGGCGGGGCCCAGGGTGGGCGGAGTCCGGAGCAGGTGGGGCTCAGGGAGGGGGCGGGGGCCTGGAGGGGGCGGGGCCCAGGGGAGGGGCGGGGGCTGGAGGGGGATCAAGGAGGGGCGGGGCTCAGAATGTGGGCAGTGGCGGGTCCTGCAGCAACTAGGGCCTGAGGACAGGATGTGACCCTACCCCTTGGATGCCCTGGGCCCAGGACACATGCTGTGGAGCTGAGAAGCCCCTGGGCTCTAGCCGTGCTCTACGATGGCCACCTAGCCACCTACGTGTCCTCACCCTGGGCTCAGGCAGCTGCATGGCTCCCATTTGCTCCTCAACTCATGCATGGCCCCCTTCCCTGACACTCTCCCTCCCTCTGCTGGGCCTGGGAGTGCTGGCAGGGCCTGGGGTTGGGGGCTGCTCCCTCAAGGCCCTCTCTAGGGCCGCGGTGCAGGGTGGGATGTGTCTTCCTGGCCTCCCCTCCCTGGGCTGGTGGCCCCACTCGGGTGGCCACTTGGTCTTTTGGTCTGGAGCCTGAAGGTCCCCCACTTCCACCGCCCTCCTACAGTGGCTCTGGGACTGAGTTCGCTGGATAAGAGCGTCCAGTGTGGGAGGGAGGGTGCTGGGAGGGGCTGGAGTATCAGGGGTCTAGGCATGGGGCCAAGCGATGGGCTGGAGTCCCAGGTTGGGCTCCCTGAAGGAGGGCAGGGGAGACAGGCTTGGGGCCCAGAGTGGGTACCCAAGAGTCTTCAGAACTGATTGCTGGAGCCCTGAGGAAGGTCCCTGTCCACCTTGTTGACTGCTGTGCCGGGGACCTGGCACGGAGGGCACTTGCTGACGGACAGCATGACACCTCTTAGGGTGGGACTCGGGGGCTCTATGCACAGCCCAGCCAGGAGCAGAGAGGGACCACCACCCTGGGTGGTGGCTGCAGGAACAGGTTACCTGGCCTTTGCTTGCCTCCCAGGACAAGTTGTGTCCCTCCCGGGCCTCAGTTTCCCTCTGTCAGCACTGCCTTGCTCTGAGATGGAGGCCTTAAAGGCTCAGGGAGCCAGAGGCACCTGACCCTGCTTGCTCCCTGTCCCCCTGCCACCTGCTCCCAGGGCAGGAGAGGGGGCCCCTCCATGGCGTGAGGGCAGGTGTTGGGGGCACTCCAGCCCCAACCCGCCAATAGGGTGATGAGGCACGTGTTGGGGGAGAGGAGAGGGGTGGGTGAAACAGACGATGGAATGAGGATGGCAGGGCAGAGGACAGAGGGCATTCTGGCCTCTAGGACCCCACACAGAAGCACGGAAGGTGACCCCAACAGCCTGGGGAAGGGCCCACTCAGGCCCCGGCCGGCCACGGGGGGCTCAGAGAAGGAGGGCTTAGGCTGGACGCAGTGCTCCCTGGACCCCAAACCCCAACACAGGCTTTACGGGGACCCTGTGCCTCACTGCTGTCCAGACATGCCCCACACACCCTCACTGACAAGACGGCCACTCGTGCACGTGCCCGCCCAGCCGACTTGGCTCACCCCCACCCACACCCGTGCAGCCCACTCCTGCCAGACACCGAGTGGCATGGACCCTCAGGCTCCAAGGCCCCCAGTGCCTCCAGGCCTGGGCAGCCCCTTCCCTTGTGTGACCCCCTCTAGGCCCAGCTGGGGAGCCCCTGCTTTGACTGGGGCCTCAGGTCCCCTCTGCCCTGCTCAAGGCCAGACAGTCGCAGGCCCGTTATGGGTAGGGTGTTAGGCAGGGTGGGCACCAGGTCAGAGCCCTCACAGGTGCCTCGGGCAGGAGCCCTGAGGGTGCAGGGCTCCCAGGCAGGACATGGCCACTGCTCTCCAGGAGCCTGCTCTCACTGTCCCAGGGCCCGGCTGCCCGTCTCCAGCTGCTCAGCCTGGGGGCCGGGCCTGCACGGCCTGTCCAGGGCCAGGAGCTGGCCACTGGAGGTGTGAGCAGGCACGGGGTGCCTTCTCAGGGCCAGCCTGGCTCTCACCGGAGGCCCTGCCCGCAGCCCCCTCCCCGCCCCAGTGGCGGGGCCGGACACCTTACCTGCCAGCGTCAGAGGCTACTCTCGTAGCTGGTGGCCACCTTCTGGCCCTTAAGCCCAGCACCCCAGCTTAGTCCTGGCGCTGGCGGGGGGGGTTCTACAGTGGACAAGAGGCGCCTTTCAGTGTGGTGTGCTGGGCCCTACCTCCCTGGGTGTGCAGATGCAGCCGGCCCGCTGCGCTGGGAGGGCCCTGCTCCCTGAGGGCGCAGCACAGCTTGGGGTGGGAGTGGGGCACATCGGAGGGGCCAAGCCCCACTTGCCAGCCCGCCGGGCGGCCCGCACTGAGCCCCCGCCTCACCTGACAAATGCTGGGTGGAGGGCTGGTCGTGTGTGCTCAGCAGCTGGGTCTGAATAGTCTCCACGACCCTCTTGAAGCGGCGGCTAGGGCCTGTGGGAGACTGGGGGTTACGCCCGGGCAGGGCTGGCCAGAGCCCATCCCCCGGCCCAGCGGCTCACCTGACAGAAGCGTGAACGTGACAGAGTAGATGCCATTCTCCTTCTGTGCTGCACCCCCCTCAGTGTAGGTGATGTCCACCTGGAACTTGACTGGCTTCTGGAACACCGCTGGGCCCCCCGTTGCCTTGTACTCAGCCCGGAAGCTGGTTTGGGAGATGACGCTGTGGCTGAGGCTGGGGATCTGCAGGGTGGCAGGTGGCGTGAGCGTGGCCCCGGCCCAGCCCAGCATGTGTGCTGTGCACAAGACTGTGCACTGGATGCACTGAGCCAGCCCCCGCCTCATCTGTGAAACAGGCGTAGCCAGATGAGGCCCATCAAGTAGGAGCTGGTCTCCCGCTCCAAGGCCACGCGGCAGAGGCACGTGGAGCCTCCGTGGAGATTTCTCACACGGACTGACAGGAGAGCAGGCCTGGCCTACTAGGCCCACTAGGCAGGGCTCCTGAGAGGAAGGTAACCTGGAGGGGAAGAGGGAGGGCGTAGGGGGCGGGACTGAGGGCGGAGGGGGAGGTGAGTGCAAGGTTGCAGACCCCAGAGAGCAGCAGCGGGGACCGAGCCTCAAGCCTTCGCTGCATGTTGACAAAGTGCTTCTGAGGCTGAGGCCACATGGCCTCGCTGACGACAGTGCCCATCACTCTGCTGGTTCTGGAGTCCAAGCTCTCGGCGCCGGGCCCAGGAGCCTCTGCGTTTTGGGGTTATGCAGCAGCAGGGGGAAAGGCCCATGGGTCACCCCCAGGATAGGGCCCTGCCGCTCAGGAGAGCACAGCGCTGGCCTCATGGTTAGAAGGGCTGACCCATGTCAGGAGACAGAGGCGGGCACTGGCCAGGTCGAGGTCACAGGGGAGGAATTCTTGGTGTCCCACAAGCAGCCAGAGGGGCCTAGGGGGCAGGTGGTCAGGACGGGGTTAGGGGGCCAAACCCGCTCCCAAAGAGGAGAGCAGGCTTCAGAGACAGGGTGCCTGTGTGCAGCGTGAGGCTACTCCCTGCCTGGTGCTGGCTCCTTGGGCCCTGGAGACCTCTAGTGGGCACAGAGCTGTCCCTGCACTCTGAGGGAGGCTGGGCTGCAGCCAAGGCAGCAGGGGTGATGCACTGCCCAGTGGGCCAAGGCTGCCCCGAGTTAGAGAAACCGCCCCGAAGGCTGGGCCTGAACTCGGGCTGCAGAGATGCTGGGATCCCTCTGATACTCCTAAGCTGTGATCCTAGGGAACCTAGCACAAGGCAGGCCCAGGCAGGCTGGGCCCCCTGGCGTGACTCTGGAAGAAAACCTTCAGGGCTTTCTGCTCCGCATGCCCAAGATCCCAGCAAAGACAAGTGGAACGCACTCCAGGCCCCAGCGCGGTCCACCCTCAGAGAGCTGGCAGGGCGAGGGGTGTCTGGAGGGCACACAGGGACCAGAGACAGCCGCTTAGCGACCGTTCCCCAGCCCCCAGGCGCGTCCGCCACACCTCGCAGAGTCTCTGAGTCAAAGCCTCATGTCCCATCCCTGCGAGCTGCTGCGAGGCCGCCTGTGCTTCACCCCGTCTCAGTGAGGGGCCACCCCCAAGGCCTGGCCCTGTCCCCAGTGCCCCTTCCTTCAGAGCCCAGCCCCGGTCTGGGCCTGTGCACAGCACGACTGTGGTTCTGTCAATGCAAGCTCCCTGGGCCCTCCCCAGGCCAGGCCATGGCCTCAGTGATGCTGCGGCCCCAGCGGAGCAGGTGGGAGGCAGTGTCTGCCGAGTGAGGGATGGATGGACCCTCTGTCCGGGGCGAGCGTCCCGAGTGGTGTGAGGCTCACCGACAGGAAGGCGTGGACGATGTCTGCTTTGATGGAGCTCAGCGGCTTGTCCTTGATGACCACGAAGATCTGCTCCTCCTTCTCCAGGTTGATGAAGTTCCCAAACCAGGACTTCTTGGCGAGCCTGGGGGAGGGACGTGGGGCAGAGGGCTGGTTATGTCAGGGTACACTGTGCCATCAGCAGAGCGTCTGGGGACAGGCCTGCCCTTCTCTCCCTTCCAGGCCAGAGGCCAGTTCACTGCCCTAACCTGACCTGCCCTGACCCAGCACTGACCCCACCATCTGGTGATGACACCCCCTGCCCAGGCCCTGCCCCTGAAACCAAAAAGGAAGGAGTTAAAATTTCCCTGGATTAGGCCGAAACCATTGACATGGGAAACAAAGTGACCAAGTTTCTGAGCTTGTTCTGCAGAACAGCAGGGGGACGCTGACACATGGCAGCTTGTTGACCACAACCCCGCCCCCAAGCATCATGCAGGGGCACCAAGAAGCCAGTGACTGAGTGTAAACGTTCAACATCACAGACTAAAATCCACCGCATGCAACATGGAAGACAGTTGCACCTGTGCAGAGGACTCTTAGAACTTCCGCCCCAAGGCCACATGCTCCCCCTCCCCCACTTGAAACCCCCAATAAAAACCCCTGCTTGTAGCTTTTCGGGGAGTTCGGGATTACAGCGTTAGCTGCCCGCTCTCCTTGCTCAGTGCTCTGCAGGAAAATTCCTACTTTGTTCCACTGCGCCCGGCGTCAGAGATTGGCTTGCTGTGCGACGGAAAAGCGAACCTGCTTAAGGTTCAGTAACAACCCCACCATCCTGGCCCCACCCTGCCCCCGCCCCACCCCTGACCCCACCATCCTTGCCCCTGACCTCACATCCCTAATGCTAGTCCCACAGCCCTGGGCCCCACTCCCCCGCCTGCTTGGCCCAGGCAGCACCTGCTGGAATCCCCCAGGAAAGAGCAGAAAGCCCACCCTGCCCCCAGCCTGCTCCTCTCTGTTGAAGCCGCCAAGGTTGGGGATATTTGCTGTGCAGCCATCTGCCCTTGTCCCAGGGCTGTGTGGGGAGCCAGAGAGGGCAGGGATAGGGGGGCAGCAGGGGAACCCTGCAGGGTATGGTGGGGGAGATGGCACAGAGAAGGGGCAGCCTTGGCCCCCCAGTGCCACCCCCTGTACCCCCATCCTCAGGACCAGTGGCTGCCCGAGCCCAGGTCACTGGATCGTGGACTCACGTCAACCCCATGGGCCCAGCTGCTGTGCTAGGCAGGGTGGAGGCTGCATCCCGGGGAGCCCAAGGCTGGCAGCACCCTCCTGCACATGGCCTCTCGCCTCACGGGCACCCAGGGCTTCCCTTCCTTGCTCCGTCTGGTCTTGTCACTCTGTCCTGTGTCTGAGCGCCCCCTGAGGTGGAGCCCTTCCTGCTACAGCACGCAGCAGTGTGGGAGACCCCTGGGTGGCCCCGCCGCCCTGCCTCCTGGATGCCCGTGTGGCCCCCCCTTGGGTGTGGGCAGGGCCTGTGCCTTGCTTCTAACTAGCATGCAGGAAGGTGACAGGTCACTTCCAAGATTGGGTTATAAAGGCTGGGACTTCCATCTTGCTAGCAGGTCTCCACTGAGTCTTGAAGGAGCCAGCTGACGTGATGGTGAGGAACCGAGGCCCTCTGTCCAACAGCCATGAGGACCTGAATCCTGCCAACACCACCTGAGCTTGGCAGCAGATCCTGCTCCAGTTGAGCCTTGAGGTGACCACAGCTGGCTGACACCCTAAAGCAGAGGGGCCAGTCGGGCTGCGTCCAGGCCCTGACCCACGAAGACCTCCACCAATCAAACACGCCCACTCAAACTGGGAGCTAGTGATGCAGAGGCAGGGACCTGGGGGGAGGTGCTGCAGCAGCCACGTGCAGTGTCTGCAGCCAGGGCCGGCCTGGTCTCAGGCCCATGTCTTGCTCCAGCAGCGGTGGCAGGGTGAGCTGTCGGTCTCATGTCAGCAGAGCTCTCTGGGCTGACTCTCAGGCTGGGTTTGGTGGTTTTCATGGCCACGCGACTTTCCTTTCTTCTGCCCATTTCCGGAACTGGGTCTTCGGCCACCATGGCAATTCTGGAGCACCAGCCGCCTGCCGACCCAGCACTTCCTGCTCCCACCCGCAAGAGCCGACCTCCGTGCCCTGCCAGGACTCCCGACAGAAGGCAGAGGTCAAGATATGCAGAATCTTCCTCGCGGACCCCACGCCGGTGCTCAGCCACCTCAGCGTCCTTCCCCACATCCAGCTGCTCTCTGGCCATCGGCTCTGTATCCCACACTCCAGGGTAGGCTGCTACCCCAGCCTGCTCACCGCTGGACCCCAGCACCTGTCCCAGGGCCTGGAGCCCAGGAGGTGCTCAGGGAAGTGGTTCCGGAACCTGCTTCTCCCTTGATGAAAAAGATGGAAGAATAACAATGGAATCTGACTTTTGTACTTTGGAACCCAGGGGTTGGCATCTGACAAAATAGTCCATGTCTGAAAGAAGCCTGGATGAGCTGGCAAGGCCAGTGGAGGGAGATGGTGATGGGCCCGTGATGGTTAACTTCAGGGTCAGCTTGGCTTGCCTGGTCAAACATTGGGTGTTGCTTATTAAAAGATATTTTTTAGACATGGTAATCATTTGACTGAGAAAGCAGGTGACCTTCTCAAACGTGGTGGGCCTCATCCAATCAGCTGATGGCCTTCAGAGCAATGGCTGAGGTTTCCCAGAAAAGGAAGAATTCGCCTCAAGATGGCAGCATGGAGGCCCGCCTGAGTTCCTGCTTGTCTGCCGGCAGGTTTTAGACTTAAGGCTGCAACGTCATGCAAACCTGCACTTCCAGCCTGCCGAGCCTAGTCTCAGGCTCGCCAGCGCCCCCAGTCTCATGAGCCAGTTCCTGAAAACACCAGCCCCGGCGTGCACACCCTGCCAGCTGCTTCTCTGGGAAGCTGGGCTGATGCAGGGTTGCTGGCGGCTGTAGGTAGGATGTCTCAGGTGGGCGAACATGTGGGGGCTACACTCAGGGGTCAACACACAGGAGGGGCGGGTGCTGGCCAGGGCGCTCAGGAGGGGGCAAGGCCTCCACGGGGCTCAGGCTGGGAAGGAGGGGCTGCAGACTGCCCAACCGGCTGAGGCTGCTTGTAGGAGGTTTTCAAGTATCCTTGAAAATATGACGATGACATGCCAAGGATGTTCGCGAGAGCTTCTGACAACAGCAGAAACTTGTGACTGAAGGGACGCCGACAGTGGATTAAAACGCTCCCTAACTCAGCCCCCAGGGCACACGCCGTGCTGGGTGCCACTGGCTTGGCGGCTCGCCCGGCTCCCACCAGTGGTGCCAGGCCCACAGCCTCAGTCGGCGCACAAGACTCGGTAACAGCTTCTTCTCTGGCTCAGGTGACGGCTGGCCCGGTGCCTTGGCGCAGGCTGCCCGCGTGAGGTCACAGCGGCTCTCCAGCACCTTCACCCTTGGCGCCCTGCCTGGCACCCACACCACGTCTTGTGTTCATACCATCAGCCCACAGACTGTGCAATGGAGGTCACCAGGGGGAAGGTGGGGAGAGTGGAGCAGGCGGCGCCTCTCCAGGGTCTTTGCCCCAGACACCGTGTGATCGGGTGACACCACAGAGGAGCATCTCGGTGAGTGGCATCTGCGTGTGTGTGTGTGTGTGTGTGTGTAGCTCTGGGTTCCTGCTGCCTCCCACAGGCCCCTGCTGCTTCCTCTTATGGGACGGGGAGCCGGGGGCTTGGTCTACACCTGCCTTGACCAAGGCCACCCTCCCCTGGACGTGTGTCCCACTGGGCCATTCCATGGCTTTCTTCCTCCCTGGCCAGTGCCATGTCTTCCCCTCGAGGACTCCAATCCGCGAGCCCCCGAGTCTCTGGCCACACTTGGGGGCTCTGCTCTTGGGCAGCCCTGACAGAGGCTCCTGCTGCAGGCGCCACAGGCCAGTACTTCCCACGACCCCAGGTCCGGCACGTCGAGAGACATGAGCCAGCCTGGCTACCAAGGGCTCTCCCAGCATGGAGGCCAGGGCTCCCGGCGGGTGTGGACTGTCACTCTGAGACATGGCTATGCTGTCCATCCCTTGAGTCTGGCCAGCCCTGGGCTCCCCACCCCAGGGTGTGGCTTCCCAGCAGAGCCGGGAAGAGCCAGGCTTTACTCCCCAGCGGCCCTCTCACTGCCCCGGGCCCTGCTCCCCAACTCAGAGCCACGAGCACTGGGGAGGAGGTGGCCAAAGCAGGGGGCAGAGGGCAGGGACCTGGGGGTAAGCCAAGGGCCACAGGGAGACAAGGAGGAGGACCCAAGAGGCTGGGTTGCTCGGCCCTGGAGCCGCCCGTGGCTCCCCCTGGCCTGCTACCTGGAGAGTCCAGCATGACCCTCCCTCATGTGCCTGGCGTCCAGACACCAGGAGGGAGGCTGACGACCTCGGGCAAGGGCCACTTACTCTGGGGACGACTCCGGGGTTAGGTTGGACATCTCCTCTGGCGTTGGAACTGTAGACACAAGCAGGACAAGGAGAGAAGCGTGGTCACTGCACGGCCCTCCCCCAGCAGGGCCCCACCCGCAGGCTGTCACTATCCACAGCACCCAAGGGCACAGGTCAGCCCCAGCTGCCAGGAGCTGTCCTGACCACGGGTGCTGAAACCAGGCCACACCTTCTCTGGCCTGCAGCCAGCCCTCCTGTCCCTCACAGATGGCACTGGCCCTCCATGTCCCACCCATCAGCTGTGCTGTGCGACCCGTGGGCCCAGGAGATGGGCAGTGCCGACTGACCCTCAGCACCCAGCATGCAGGGGTCAGCTGTCAACTGCTGCCCTGGTCCCGAGGGCTTCCTGACCTTCTGCACCCACACCACCCACGTGCTCAGGCAACCCGGCCCAAGGAGGACGAAGGGCTAAGTGAGGAGCAAAGGAGCCAAGAGGGGTCCCAAGGCTGCACCTGCTGGGAGGGCAGTTCTGAGTGGACCCCTGACACACGTGGTGGGCAGGCTCAGGCACACATAGACGTCTGGAGGTGCTGCCCAGGCCTGCGCTGGCCTAGTGGACATGGGCTGCTGTCCAGTGTTGTTGGCAGATGAACCACCAAATGGGGGAGGGGGCAGCCCGTAGCCTACAGCCCCCACCTGCCCCACTGGCTGGACGGCCGGTGCTCCCGCTGTGGCCCTACTCCCCATACACCCTGCCACGTCCGGCCCAAGCGCACCTTGCAGTTTCCGGCGGTGGAAGCGGGGCGACCCCAGGAAGCTGTTCTTGATGGAGTTGAGCCGTGTCCTCCAGGGCACCCCTCCAACGCTGGGACTGGACGGCGGCGTGGGGTTGGGCGTGCCGGCTGGGCTCTCCTTGGGCGTGTGCACGGGCGTCCCCTTGGGGGTGGGGAGGGGACTGCCCCTTGGAGAGGGGTGAGGGGTCACCTGTATGGTGGGGACAGATTTGGTGTTTGGTTCAGTCCCGGCGGGTAGGAGCCGGGCGGGGGCCGGCAGGGTCGGCGAGGCCGGGGGCAGGGCCAGCTGGGGGCCGAGGCCCCCTGGGACAGGGGGCCGGGCCTGGGTGCCGGCTGGGAGCGGGTTAGACTTGGTGCCCTGTAGCGGCTTGTCGGTCAGCTTGGCCTTGCTCGGCAAGGTCTGGGTCTTGGGGTTGGGCCGCGGGGCGGGCTGTGCAGGGAGGACGTGTCCCAGCCGCGAGGCACTCCGACAAGCTTCGGGCTCCATGGAGGTGGCCGTGGGGCAGGCCACGAAGGGGAGCTCCGGGGGTGGGGGGGGCAGAACAAACTTTCTAACAGGCTACAGGGCAGGCGTGGGACAGAGAGTAGAGTAAGGGGTCCAAGGGGTCCGCGAGAGCCAAGCGCCAGCGTGCACACCCCGTCCCGCCCCCCGCATGCACACACAGCACCCGTAGGACCAGAGAGAAGCCGGGACCCCAGGCGGGAGCAGCGGGGACAGGCAGGCGTTGGGGGGGGGGGGAGTGTTTGCCACAAAAGAAAACAAATGACACACGAGAAAACAAACAAGACAGAACAAGAGCGTGCAGTTAGCGAGAGCAGTGGCAGCCACGCGGCAGCCCCAGCCGCAGGCGGGGACCAGGCGAGGCGGGGCCTGCTTCTGTCCACCAGCCTCCCCCCACCCGGCGCCCGCCGGCCGCAGAGGCACGGGCACCTCCCGGAGCCTGCAGAGAGCGGGCGGGTCACTCACCCGAGGGCTGCTGAGAGGGCTGGTGGAGAGGCCTGAGGAGGCGCCGCTGATGGACCTAGACCTGGGGACACAGGCGCAGAAGCAGGTCAGCCTGGGAAAGGGCCACGGGCTCTTGGCCCCTCTCTCCCCCCAGGTAGACTCTGCAAGAGGCCTGGAGCCCTGGCCTGGTGCACGCCCGGCCTGCCCAGGGCCATCCTGCTGTCCCCACCCTGCCTCTCACCAGGCCCAGGAAGGCCCACAGCCCATCTAGGCCCCATCAGAGGCCCAGGGCTGTGGCTGGTGGCCTTGGAGCTCCTCCTCTGCACCACATGACAGCTGTCCCGTGTCCGAGGTGCTAGACCCAGGACAGCAGAGAAGAGCCCTCAGCAAGGGTCTGCCAGGGGCTTAGGTGGACGGAGGGACAAGGGGACGTGGGGGCTCCCTGCGAACTGAATCCATTCCCTGTGCCGGGTCCACTCCATGCCCTGGTTGCCCTGAGCCCGGCCTGACCCCCAAGGCTGAGCTTTCACAGGGCTCTGAATCCTGCACTCGGCCCAGCCCTCATGTCTCTGCATGTGGGCCTCCAGCTGGGCACCAGCCCAGCCACTCCAGACCCATGGCCCACCCGCCCAGCCCAGAGCTGCCCACGGCAGGCCAGCCCACAGCCCTCTCCTCACTCACACTGGGCGGGCCTGGGCAAGACGAGGCTAGGGTGGACACTGGCAGGGACCATGGTCCTTGTCCACCACTGGCCCACATGGCCTGCAGACCTGGCCTGGGCGTGGCCAAAGAGAGCCCACTGGCCCAGTGTGCCTGGCTGAGACACACACACAGCCGTTGCTCCTGTGAGGCTGGAGCTGGACCCCCCAGAGGCCTCTCCACCACACCGACGGCCGGAGGGAAAGTGAACGCCTTCCACCCCTGGGCACCTGCACCTGCCGTCCTGGAGGAGGACACGGGAGGGACTGGGGCGGCCACCTGGGACAGGAGGGCACAAGAGAGTGAGGGCCATTCACCCACCGCCTGGCCTCTGGAGGGGTCTCACCCGCCCACACCACGGCCCGGCCCCTGGGCCTCAGGGAGAAGCTGAGCCCACGCTGGCACCTGTGGGCTGGGGCCCCATGGCGACGAGTGTCCTACTCTTGACCTGACAGCTATGGAGCCGGGGGCGCTGCGGACCCTGCTCCTAGCCCCTAGCCTGACCCCTCGCGGCCAAGATGGTGCTCAGAGCCAGGCCAGGGCTGAAGCTTTCAGATGTTGCATAAGGGAGCTGGGGGCCAGTCGGTCCCAGCTGGTGCCCACCCCAGCAGCCACAGGCTGGCAGAGGCAGCAGCCATGAGCAGACCTCCCACTGAGCCAGCCACGAGCTCGTCGCTTGGCACAAGAAAGCAGAAAAGCAGCAGCGGGTGGGAGCCGCGTCCACACCTGTCCAACCAGGAGGCCCCTGGAAACCAGGCTGGAGCTGCCTGCAATAGGAAGGACGGCACCAGAACCCAGAAAAGGCAGGCGGGGCTGGAGCAGGGGGATGGGGTGAGGCCTGACCACCGGTGCCCACAGGCAGCAGAGCCTACAGGTGCAGGGCCCCGGGGGCTCAGGAGGACTGGCCCCATGCAGAGGCCTCTGGACTGTCCCACCTCCTGCCGCCTCCTTGGGGAGCCTGCAGCCCGCAGGACTCGGGGGGCCAAGCGGCCCTGGTGACGCATCCACTCAGGCCCTTGTGGGCAGCAGGGAGGCCCCAGGACCCAGGGGCCATGCAGAACAGGGAGGGGAGGTTAACCAGGGCCACAGAGGCCCACCGGCCACAGGGCAAGGGCAGGCCAGAAGGGGTCTCACAGCCTGCAGCCACTGGGGTCCCAGGGCAGGGAGAGCACTGTGGGTCTCCTGGCCCCTCGCAGGCTGGCCGTCGGCCTCGCCCCAGCAGCCCTCTCCTCCTGCTGGGCTCTGCCTACCCTGGCCAGGCCCTTCCCCGGCCAAAGGGAGAGAGCCAGACGCGCCTCAGGCCCAGCCCTGCCACCAGGCCCACCGTGGCCATCAGGGCAGGGGGCGGGGGTGGGTGGGCAGGGTGTGTACCTGTCTTCTTTGCTGAATTGGGGGTGGGCTTCAGCGATATCCAGGCTTTTACTGAACATTGCTTTACTACAGCAGGAACAAAGCGAGAGAAGAGAGTTACTGACACAGCCCCGCTGGCAGTCCAGGAGGCCTGCCCACCACACAGCTCTGGGCTGGGCGCAGGCACCTGGCCCCCTGCCAGGGCACACGGACGCCAGGAGCAGTCGGGCAGGAGAGCACCAGGGCCACAGTGCATCCTGCCCTGGTGACCTGCTGGGCAGGGCGGCTGGACAGGCCTTGGAGGATGCCCAGGACCCCTTAGCTCCAGGAGGTGGCCTGCTGTGGCCCAGTGCTAAGTGGCCAAGCCAGAAGAGGCAGCAGAGCCCGGAGCAGCAGCTGGTGGGGAGGAGCCAAGAGGAAAAGGGCTTTACAAAGGTGACCATCGGGATGGTCCACACCTCATCCCAGCACCCTGTTTCCCAGGCAGTGGGGCCTGGAAGGCAGAGCAGGAACCACGGCAGGGTGGGCTCCCACGCCGGGCCCATGCCCCTGCCCCTGCCCCAGGCAGGTGGCGTGGCAGGGCTGCAGGGCAGCTGGTATGGGGAGGCGGTCAGCACTCAGCCTGTCGTGTGGGAAGGCGGGCTGGCGAGAGGTGACCTCTCAGTGAGCCGCTTGGAGGGGGCCACTCTCCCCTGGGGGCCTGCTGGGGGAGGTGCGCCCACCACAAGCAGGACGCCAGGTGTGGTCAGGGCAGGAGCTCAGCCAACAGGACCTTCCTCCTGCTCCTCCTCTCGACCCCCCAATGCAGGAGCCCACGGGCGTGTCCATGGCTGTCTGGAGACCTGGAAGGAGGCCTCAGAGGGCGGGGACCCCAGGTCGGAGGCTGAGCCAGCCAGCCTGGTTCCCTGGGGGAGGGCCTGGGACCACCCGGGGGCTATGGACCACCAGCCCAGTTTCATCCTGATGGGGGCCTTGCTGCCCTGTGGTCCCCATTTACTGCCAAATTCCACAGGAGGCCTGCCTGGCCCAGCACCTAGCGCTAGCTGTCCAGGGGTGGCCAAGGCTGCTGGGACTTCCTGTGGTGCTCCAAGGCCCCAGGGCTGTCCCCAGATGGCTGAAGCCCCCACTGGGCAGGAACATTGGGCCTTGCCCCCAACAGGTCACACTCAGCACCAGGGTGAGGATTTGCCAAGAGCCTCGCCCAGCTGGCTGCCACTCAGCTGAGGTGCTGTGGGGCCCAGACCCTGTCCTTCCTCCAGGGGATCTGTCGGGATAGCCAGACCTGCTCATTGCTCCCAGAATTCCACATCCCTGCACAACACTGCCTGAGGCCAATGTCAAGTGGGGACAGGATAGGACAGCCCAGCCCAGCCCAGTTAAACCCAGCCCAGCTCAGTCCAGTACAGTCCAGCTCAGACTAGTCCACTTCAGATCAGTCCACTCCAGTTCAGTCCATTTCAGCCCAGCCCAGCTCAGCCCAGTCCAGCCCAGTTCAGCCCAGTCTCCTCCAGTCCAGCCCAGTTCAGTCCCGTTCAGCTCAGCCCAGCCCAGTCCAGGCCCTTCCAGTCCCGCCCAGTTCAGTCCCGTTCAGCTCAGTCCAGGCCCCTCCAGTTTAGTCTATCTCAGTCCAGCCCAGCTCAGCCCAGGTCAGTCCAGTCCAGTCCAGCTCAGCCCAGTCCAGCCCAGTGCAGCCCAGTGCAGCCCAGCCCAGCTCAGCCCAGTCCAGCCCAGCCCAGCTCAGCCCAATCCAGCCCAGTTTAGCCCAGTGCAGCCCAACCCAGCTCAGCCCAGCTCAGCCCAGTGCAGCCAGCGCAGTCCAAGCAGCCGAGTCCTCGGCACGGCACAGTCCACCCCGCCCAGTGGCCTCGGCGCAGCCCAGGGCCAGGGGGCAGAGATGAGCTAGGCCAGGCCCAGCCGGCCCATGAGGGTGCTGACACCGACCAGGCCAGGGTACAGGAGCCGGAGCACCGGGTCCTCTGGAAGGCACGCACCTCTGGCCGTGCTGAGCCATCTCGATGGCCCTCCGTGCGGGCACCGGGGAGCCACCGTCCGTCACGCTGAGCACCTCCATGGACTTGCGCTCTGGCCGTCGCTTGCCGTGCCGGTTCAGCATCGGGGAGTCCACACGCTTCCGGGGAGGGTCTGCATGCAGAGGGGGGTCAGGGCCGGGCAGCCCGCGTGGGACCAAAGGGTGGTGTGAGGCTGGGCCCCTGGGGCTGTACCTATTTCATTCCTTGGGGGCAGGTCCTCGTCCTCGTGGCTTGGGTACCTCTCCTTCCGGTCCAGGAGGAGGAAGTAGATCATCTTCTCCTGGTTCTCCCTGCAGCAGGCGAGAGGCGGTGAGGAGGCCTGGCCCCAGGGCACATCAGTTCCTGGGTGATGGTCCCCGGGGCCACTCTGTGTTCCCCCAGGGCACCCACTCCCCACCGCCTCCTACGAACACTCCCGGCTCTGCCGCCCGCCTGGGTGGGTGTCCCCACAGACGCACTCCTCGGACAGCAGGTCCTGCAGCAGCTTGTTGCGGTCGCGGAAGCAGCCCAGCGAGTGCATGCTATCCAGCACATCAGGGTCGATGTCCTCCAGGCTGGGCAGTGAGCGGATCTGCACCTTGCGGGGAATGGGCTGCTCAGGCTCCGGCTCGTTCTTGCCCCCTCTGTGGATGACAGGGCAGCGGCCACTCACCTCTGGCCCAGCGGAGGCTCCTCCACCCCCACCCTGAGGCGGCCAGGAGGGCGGGAAGCCGGGAGGCCCACCCCTTCCTGGGGACCCTGAGTCCTGCTGCTCCCCCTGCGCCAGCCCCTGCACACCTCCTGCATTCTGCCTGTGCCCAGTGCAGGCCAGCCCAGGGGCCCTGAGAGCTGGCCAGGCAGCCAAGGCTGGGGCAGGCCTGCGCTGGGTCCTCCCCCCCGCCTTCCCTAGCAGGCCCTCCAGGCCACAGCCACAGGCAAGCAGGCGAGGAGTGGGAGGAGAAGCTACTTACATATACCATGTGTGTTTCTGAATGTGCTCTAGCTACGAGGAAAGAGAAACAGGGAGTTAGTAGGGGGAAGGAGAGAGCCCACGTTAGGAAGCCAGAGGGAGCAGGAGGGGGAGGCACAGGAGGGGAGGGGGACAGGAGCTGGAGAGAGAGGAGGGGGAGGGGGTGGAGAAGAGAGGATGGAGATGGGGGAGGACAGGAGGGGGAGGGGAGGGGAAGATGAGGGGAGAACAAGGATGAGGAGGAGAGAGGGAGAGGAAGGGGGGGAGGGAGAGAAGGGGAAAGCGGAGAAGGGGCAGGGGAGGGGAAGGATGGGGGAGGGGGAGAAGGGAGAGAGGGTGGATGAGGAGGGGAGGGGGCAAGGGAGGGCGAGGAGTGGGAAGGGGGAGGATGGGAGATGTGGGGCGGGGTGGGGGGCGTAAGGAGGGGGAGGGCTGCATTCCCAGAGGCTCCAGGCTAGCTCCCCTGACCTGCCCTCCCAAGTGAAGAGGAAATGCCAGCCTAGAGAAAGCAAGCAGTTGGGGAGGGGAGGAGTGGGAGCCGCAGGCAGGGGCGGGGGCCTGGTGGCCTATGCTTCGGGTCCCTCTTGGGGCTCTGGGAAGGAGGTGTGAGGGAGGAGAGCAGGGGAAGCAGCCAGGCCCAGCCCATCTGCGTGGGGAGGGGCTGGGGGGAAGGTACAAGCAGGAGGCCCAGGGGCCGAGCCCCCCACCCAGACTCAGGACAGCTTTGCTGGGGAGGGAGGGAGAGGGCGGCTTCTTGGGCACCAGGCCACCCAGGGGAGTCCTACTGCCCTCGCCCTGGGGACCTGCCAACTTGGCAGCAGCTTAGCCCCTTGGCAGGAGACCACAGACAGCTGACCTGGGGCTTCTTTCAGAAGTGGGGGGCTTCCCTCAGACCCTCCCATCCCCCAGCGTGGGAGTCGGTCATGCTGACAGCACTGGCCCAGGAGAAGGGAGCCAGTAACGGTGGACTCTCGCCTCCCAGGCACACCTAGCGCTCCAGAACCACACTCACAGGCAGAGGACTGTGCACATGCCTATGCCCGGCACACGCTCACACCCATGCACACATGCACACATCCATGCCCATGTGCTTGCACACCTGCACATACACGCACACACCCATGCACATGCCCACACACAGCTTCGCATGCACACTCCTATTCTCACACACACTCATGCCTCTGTGCATGTACTGTTACCCATGTGCATGTGCCCATATACCTGTGCACGTGTGCACACTCACAAACCCATGCACACGCCCACACACGCCTGTTCATGCAGTCACACACAGCTGTGCACACACTCTCACATGTGCACGCACACGCCCTCTGCACACCGGCACACTCGCGCACACCCAGGGCTCCGTACACACTCCCGCGCACAGGGCCGTCCCCGTGGGCAGCGCCCCTCGCCCTGGGAGGCGGGTGCAGAGGAGCCTCGCCCGCAGGCGGCGGACGCACCGTGAGGCGCCGCGCGGCGTCCACCTCGATCATGCCACGCAGCAGGCTCTGGCAGTCGGGCGGGATGAAGTGCGGCATGTGGAACACGCCCCGCTTCACCTTCTCCAGCAGCTGCCGCAGGTTGTCGTCGTCGAAGGGCAGCGCCCCCTGCCGGCCGGAAGGGGGTCATCGCGGGAAGGAGGGTGGGCGGTGGCCGGGCGGGGTGGGGCGGGGTGAGGGGCGGGGACAGAGATGGATGGGGGCCGGGACGGGGTCTCACCACCAGCAAGGCGAACAGGATCACCCCGCAGCTCCACACGTCCGCCTTACGGCCGTCATACTTCTCCCCCTGCAGACACAGTGCGGTGGGCGCGGGCGCAGGGCCGGGGCTTGCCGGCGAGGGGCCCGGGCCAGGGTCTGGGAGTCGCCCCGTGGGCTGTCCAAGGACACGTGGACCCTCAGACCTCCCCGAGGGCTGGGGTGGGAGGCCCCTTGGACAGATAGGGCCTGGGGTGGGGGCCGCGGGCAATGGCCACTTACCCGGATCACCTCGGGGCAGGCATAGTGGGGCGACCTGAAGGGAAACCAGCGTCAGGGCTCGAGGCAGCACCACTGTCCGTGGCCTGGGCCTCTGGGCTGCCCCGGACACAAGGTGGGGCCCACATGAGGGGTGGTCCCTGCTCCCTGTCCACTGCCTGGACCTCTGGGCCCCTGGGACACAGGAGGGGCCTGGAGGAGGGGTGCTCCCTGCCCCCTGGGGTGGAGTCCCGCTGGGGCCCTCACGCCTTCCAGGAGGCTCAGGGGGCTCTGGTGCCACCACACCACCACCTAATGCCCTGCATGCTCCCTGGGGGACAACAAGGCCTGGGAGCTGGGGCTCCTCTATGCTCAGGGAAGTCTGCCCATCCCTCCTGGTCCAAGGAGATGGGCGTCAGAGGAAGGACCACGGGGCATGTCCTGGGGTCCCAACTTAGGTCCCTCTGCTAAGGGTGCACAGAGCAGGAAGCTGTGCACCAGCTCCCCCTGCCCCAGGGCAGGCAGCCATGGGGCTGGACCTCCTTCCAGGGCCTGGTGGGAGAGCCGAGGGAGGCTCTGGGCCAGGCGGGCCACCTGCCACCCCTTCACTGAACAGCACACCAGAGCCAGAGCCGGGGGCAGAGCCAGGGGTCCTGCCTCCAGCCCAGGCTGCGGGGGCCTGGAGGGAGGCCCTGGGGCTGCAGGGCCACCTGGCCGGGCAGACACAGAGACCCCACGTGCATCCATGGGCTGGGCTGGGGCAGCAGCATCTGGGCCACCTCTCCGAGCCTGTGTAGAGCTGGCAGGGGTGCAGGGCTGCAGCGGCAGGCAGGGCCGAGGCAGGTATGCACTCACCCACAGCTGGTCTCCAGCAGGCTGTCGCCCACCTGCAGGGAGGCCATCCCGAAGTCCGCGATGCGGATGTTGTTCTTCTCGTCCAGCAGCAAGTTCTCTGGTTTCAGGTCCCTGTGGCTGGAAGGAACCGGGTCAGGCCGAAGGGCCCAGAGCTGTCTCCCCTTCCCTCCCCACCACACAGCATGAGGCCAATGGCAGCTCCTGGTGATGTCACAGGCAGCCCATCTCACGTGGCCTGCCTGGGCTCTGGTCTGTGGGATGGAGGGACAGGCTCTCTTGGGTCGCACTGCTGGCTCTTGTGGCCCCTGGGCAGGCTCTGCTTTGCTCCCTGAGGCCCCATTCCCTTCGCTGCCTCCCCCACACCGCTCTGCGCGGAGGCCAACCTGCGGTCCCCAGACCGAGGACGCCCTGAAAAAGCCGAGGAGAGGCTTCCAACTCTTGGGTGGGCACCTGGCAGAAAATGTCCTGAGGCCCTTGAGGAGTCAGTAAGAGATGTACTGTCTACTCCAAGGGGATAGGGGAATGCAAGAGTCGGGGGAGGCGCTCCTGGGGTGACGGGGGCGCGTACCATATGGAGTGGCTGTGGCAGAAGTCTAGCGCCGAGATGATCTGCCGGAAGAACTTGCGCGCCTCTTTGGGGGTCAGCCTCCCCTTTTTGACCAGGTAGTCGAAGAGCTCACCTCCAGACACGTGTTCTAGCACCAGGTATCTGCGGGGATGGCGGGCGTCAGTGGGCACACACAGCGTGCCCGGCCCACCCCAGGGCCACCCAGCTAGAGCCACCGTCGTGTCCTGGCACCTTCAGCATGAGGCCCCACCTCGAGGGCAGCCTGTTGGAGGCATCTCTGGCGCCTGGGGCCAGGGAGCAGGGCTACATGGCCCCCCAGCTGAGGGATGCTGGCCCGAGGCGAGAGAGGTACTGTGGTTGGACCTTGTGTGAGCCATGGCCTCGGCCCTTCCAGCCCTCCCTGGCCAGCCCAGGCAGAACTTCCCAACAACAGGATGAATCAGACCGTCGGGCCCTCAGGGAGCCCTGGCCAGCAGGACAGACATCAAAAGGGAGTAGGCGAGGGGCTAGTAGGGCGCAGCCGGGGGTGTGGGGAAGCTCTCCCTCAAAGGAGGTCTGGGAAGACAGAGGGGAAGGGGTAGGAGGAGGGCCTGGGTGGGTGTGTCCCAGCTGGCAGGGTGGCAACTGCCCCTGACTTGGCTCAGTGCGGCTGGAGCGGTGCCAGGGGTGGGGACTGGGCTACTGGAGGGACCGGATGCCCCTCTGCTCAGCCTGGCCCTTTGCACCCTCCCCTCAACTGCATCACAGCGCCAAGCAGGGGTCCAGGGACCAAGGACATCTGGGCAGCTGTGCAGGGCTGTGGGGTGGGGGCTGAGACAGGACGGGGAGGTCAGGTGGAGGAAGGTGTCCAGGCTCTGGCTGGGGTGATGGTGGCTGGGGGGACCCGCACCCCTCTGAAAGGGGGGTGAGAAGCGGGCTGTGTGCGAGCTGAGCCTGTGGTGGGGCCTGACCAGGGTGGTTTCTGGGAGAAGTGGCGGGTCCCTGGGACGATGGACTCTGATGCCTGCGGGGCCTCAGGGGAGCCTGGTTGGGACACTGAGCACACTCCCGAGGAGTCACTGGTAGGAACTGGTGAGGGTGGGGTCCCGGGCAGGCTGCAGTGGCTTTTCGGGGGGAGGCATGAGAGGAGAGGATCATGAGAGGAGCCACACAGGACAAGGGCTGGCAGGACCAGGGCCTCAGGGGCGTGCCCGGCGGCCATGGGATCAAAAGTGACCAGCTGTCTCAAGGGCTGGTTTTGCAGGAATTGAGGGGTCAGTGCGCTGGGGGCCCTGGGCACAAGGAGCCTGTCTGTGAGGTGGAGCAGGGCCCCACCTTGGCCCCTGCAATCCCCTGGACCGGCTACCTGTCCGCCTGTGTCCAGGTCCCCCATTCCCGTCACCTTTGCCGAGCTGTGCCCACCTGGCCCCGCCGTCCCAGGCCCCTCCCCAACTGCCTGGCCCCATGTTGGCTTCCTTGAACCTCAGGCTCTGCTGTCGCCTATGTGTCTGCCTCACGAGTGACTCAGCAGCCACAGAGGTGTGAGGTGTCCCATGTACTAGGTGTGCAGGGGGCATGGCCGCACACCCTGCATCCCAAACCCACAGGATGCCACTAAGATACTGCCAGGTGGTTGATCAGGCCAGTGGGGGCGAGGGCAGGAGTGTGGTGTGGCCCCATTGCACCTCATCAAGGCCCTAATGGTGGCCAAGTTCCGCAGTCCACCAGTGTCAGGGCCCAGGCCCGTGGTGACTGAGGTCCCCCATGCAGGGCAGCTCCTGGCACTCCACCCTCATTAAACACTTGGAGTTGGCCATTGTGCTGGCTGGGACCCCAGCTGGCGTAGTGGTGACACCGTCATGCACGAGGAAACTGAGGTGCAGAGAGAGTGAGTAACCTGCCAGGGGGACACTGGGTCCCAAGCCCTCCTGCTCCCCCAGGGCTGCCCTCGCACCGGCCTCCTGCCCCACCTCCACTGCCCAGGGCAGTGCCCAGGGGCTGAGGACGGCCACCTGGGCAGCTGGTCGGCCTGCATCAGGTGCCCAGGGCTCTAGGACGAGGGTGGCTGGGGGTCGGGGTTGTACTCAGGGGTCGAGCCAGCCCTTGTGTCTCATGTCCTCAATCTGCATGTCCCCGAGGAAACTGCAGGAGAGCCCCTCCCTCAGGGACACGGCACAGAGGGCCAGGAGCCTTCCTACAGTCACACATGCAGCAGTGGCAGAGCTGGATGCTCCCCAGAGGTGAGCCTGTGGTGACCGCCGCCTGCAGCCCCAGCGAGCTCGCTGAGCACAGAGGGCTGGTGACCTGGGGGCACCAGGATTCCGACCCAGGTCTGCAGGGGACAGTGAGGTTTCCACTGGCCTCGGCAGCCACGGTGTGACAGGAGGTAAGGCATACTCAGCAGCCCGGGGCCAGGCATCCCCAGGAGGGTTGGTGGGTGGGACAACAGACTGGGTGAGGGGTCTGGGGTGGCGAAAGTACAGTCAGCCAGCCTAGGGTCCCGAGCCCGGTGAGGGAGCAGACGGGGGCTCAGTGTGAGTGGGGAGGGAGAGTGGCAGTCCCCAGCACTGATGGAGTCAAGGCTCGCTGGGGCCAGGGAGAGAGGGTCCCAGAGGCGCCTTCCCCTTGACCCCCACCGGCAGCCCACTCCTCCAGGAAGCCCCACTCCACCTGGTGGCTCAGGCTGGTGGCTCTGCCAGTCTCCAGCAGAGCAGGCCACGGGTCTGGTCAAGAAGCAGTGACCGCCACAGCCTGGGGATCGGCCTTCAGAGCCCCTCCTAAGACGGCTCCCTGCCCAGTTCCACTGCCCAAGGCCCCCAGCCCCACCTCTGGCCACCCCAGCTCTCTGGACCCAGCAATACCTACAAATATTTTTTGTTTTCATAAACGTCGTGCAGCTTTAGGACGTGAGGGTGCTCGATGAGCTTCAGGATGGCAATCTCCCGCTCTACCTGCTCGGGAAGAAGAAAGCACGTCACGGTGGGGGCAGGGGCTCATTCCCTCACAACCCCCACCTCCACCCACTGCCCGTCCCTGCGCTCTGAGGCTCGACGTCTGACGCCGCGTACGGGGCCAGGCTATGGGCAGACACGGACACCGCTGCCCGCCTGCCCTCAGGAGCCTCCCACTGGTGGGAGACTGAGGGGTCTGAGTGGACTGAGCCCCTCGGGATGCCTCAGTGGGCTCAGGGGGCAGCACCGGGCTTTGGAGCGGGGCCAGTCTAGGGTAGGCTTTCCACCCGTGTGGGCCAGCCGTCCATGTCACATTGCACAGGGCCCCACCCCTCCCCCGGCCGCACCTGGTCCCTGCAGGCCGTGGTGGGGTGGGCCCAGTTACAGCCCCAGACCCCCTTCCACTGAGCACCTGTCCCTCCCCTCAGAGACCTCATGGGCAGCACACTGAACCCATGAGTCCCAGTGCCCCAGCCAGAGCCCAGGCCCCAGCCAGGCGCTGTCCAAGGCAGGGTCGCAACCTGCCTGCCCCCTGCTTGCACTGCCCCCACCCATCCAAGGGACCCCCGCCTCCTCTTAAAACCGTCCCATCTCAGGTCCCTGGGGTTTCCCAGTTGGGCCCAAGTCCCTCCCTGCCCCCAGCAGCCAGAGGGGTCCTCATTGTGTCCCTGGCTCTCACCCTGGCCCCCTGCACATCTCCCCCGCCTGGGCAGAGCCCTTATCACGGCCCCACGAGCCAGGAGGCCGCTGCCCTACAGCCCTGAGCAGACGAGTGAATTAACCATGTGGAGGGTCCAAGAGGCGCAGCCCATGGGCGGGGGCTCAGGGGCGCAGCCATTGGTGATGGGGCAGACCCCGCTTGGCCACCCACCTGGGAGGTCTCAGCCACCCACACCCACGTGTGAGCAGGCAGATGGACACCCCGAGGCCTGCGCAGCCCCTCCCCACTGAGTGTCTGGGCAGACCCCAGGAGCCCTCCACCCACATGGAGTCTGCTCCAGCCCCAAGGGGGCCAGACTCCCCCATGAGGCTGCGGGGGGCTCCCAGGACTGGGGGGGCAGTGGGAAGGAGGGAGCCTATCACGTCCTCTTTCTTCCTCAGGGCAGGGGTCTTGTCCTGATTCTAACTGGAAACTGATGCCCAGCCTGCTGTCCCAGCAGGTCAGAACAGCACCTGGCCGTGCCCCAGGCCCCTGGCTGAAGCAGGGAGAAAGGGTGGGTAGGGCTGGAGGGGAGGGGCCCATGTGCTGGGTGGTGATAGACTGACCAGACTGATGGAGGCCAGGAGAGGGAGCCAGCTCTGCTGCCAGCAGGAGAGGGTGTGCAGGGGTGAGGGACGCAAGGAGCAGGCCAGGGCAGGACCCATCTGGGCTGGCTTTGCTGCAGCCCAGCTCTCGGCCCCACCCACGGGGCACCCACCGCAGGGCTACCCCAGGCTGGTCTCAAGGCCCCGCCTGCCCCCCCAGACCCCGGCTTGTGGTTCACCTTCATCAGCACAGACTCGCTGAGCTTCTCCCGGTTGACGATTTTGATGGCCACCTTCTGGCACGTGACACAGTGAACCCCCAGCTTCACGAGGCCTGCGGCGGGGAGAAGCCCATCAGACCCCATCTGGGGCCTCGTGCAGGGCCTGGAGGACTCTCAGCCATGGGCCCCCAACCTCGAAGAGCTTTCCTGGGGGTGGCCGCGGCCTACTCTCCAAGGCCCTGGCTGAGGGTCCCGTCCCCTCCGCCCGCCCGCCCCTGTGTCCTACCCAGCCCCTCACTCAGGGTCTGGATCTGACTCCCCCACCCCCCTGCCAGCGTGCCTGGAGCCTGCCAGACTCCGGCCACTTCTGCTCCATGCTCCTTGGTCACTGCCCAGAACGGCTCCGTGTGGAGCGTCCCTCTGTCCCAAGCCACATGCCTCCTCCCACATACCGGCCCTGAGGCCTCCTTGAGCCCTGGGTCTCAGGCGGACCCTTGCTCCGAGTCCCTCCCCCAGGCCTTCAGCCACCCCCAGCAGGAGGGCCAGGGTGCCCTTGGGTCCAGGGCCACTCCCACCCAGCCCCATGAGGCCCCACACAGACCCCTACCCCCAGGACACCCAGCCTCTGCTACCCTGCGACCCCCACCCATCACCCTCCTTTCAGTCTGCGGACCCTGGACAGAAGCGCCCGACACCTGCACCCAGCTCGGCACTCCCCCCAGGCTGCAGGGACTGCCTGCCTCCCCTGACCCCCACGGGGCAGAAGCTCTGCTGACTCAACTCTGCTTGCCCCACACTTCCAGTCCCCACAGTTCTGGGGCTTGTCACGTGGGCATGGCTGGGCGCCTGCCTCCCCTTCCCTCCCTGGCTGGGAAGCGCCACCGGGGCCACCAGTAGCCCCTCTCCCACTGTGACCTGGCCTGCTGCCCTCTGGCTAGACTGCTTTGTGAACTCGGCCCAGGAGACCTGTGCTCTCCTTCCAGAGCCCCCATCCCAGCGCCCCCAAGGCGCCTTGAATCCCTGATGGGCCTGGGGAGGTCACAATGGTCGGGGCTGCCTCCAGCCTTTGGGGCCTAGGGGGCTGCCACGTGGAGGGTGAGTTGACCAGGGCACCGCAGCCCGACCTCGACCTCTGCTCCGTTGCGAGGGGCGCCCCTTCCGTGAACCCTGAGGGGCGCCCACACACTGCTTCGTCCCATCTCCACCAGGCACCGTGTCCAACTCAGAGCTGGCCGCTGGCACCTGGCCCCGGACTGCTGCCACGTCAGCCTTCACGTGGTGACCGCCTCCTGGGGGTATTCCTGACTTGCAGGAGCCCTTTGACTTTCACGGGAAACGAATCCTTTGTCACATCCATAGAAGACAAGTCCCCTCGCCACTCCCTCACACCTCCTCTCATTCCTAGCACACTAGGTTCTCCCCTGGGGTCGGAGGCCTCCTGGGCCCCTCATGCCCCATCTCGCCCAGCGGCCTGCACAGACTGCCCCGCAGCCAGAGCCTCTGCCATGGGCAGTGAGAAGATGACACTGTGCTCCCTGAGGCAGGAGCAGCTGCAGGCCAGGCTGGGGACAGAGGGCAGGTGGGGCACACAGACCTTGTGGGAGCCTATGCCCAGGGCCTGAGGCTCCCACGCTCTGGGAAGCCCATATGGTGGCGCTGTGCCTGCTGAGCCGGGGCTCCTGCCCTGGGAAGGGCTGCGGGCTCCGGGGCCTCTCACGGCTGCCTTTGATCTGGCGCTCGAACCCTGCGATTCCAGGTGGAAAGGAGCAGAGAGCACAGCATGAGGAACGGGAGGCAGGTGTGATCCAGAGCCTCCGAGCCGGGGCCCAGGGACCCCACGGCCTCCTAGACAGAGTCCAGCCATGGGCAGGACTTGGCCCTGGTTAGAAGCAACACCTCTGTCCTGTCCAGCAAGACCCCAAACAAGGTTCACAGGCCTTGAGGAACGGAGGACACAATGGTGACAGGTGGCAAAGACCACTACTACGAGGGGTACAAGCACCTACAAGTTCTCAAACGCCTGTGACAGATGCCAACATGGTGTCCAGACAGCAGGCAACGGTCCCAGGAAGAGACATCAATGGCCAGAAACACCCACACATGAGCCGGAGAGACCCTACAGGGCAAAGGACGCACTGCCCCAGGACACACCATTGGGGCCGAGCCCTGGGATGGCATTCCTGAGCGCAGGAGGGCCTGCGGCCAGCGGTGCACAGCTGCTCATGTAGCAAAACTGGGGAGTGACCTGGAGACCGCAGGCAGGAGGCAGGAAGGGTGTGTGCCTCAGCCACCAGGGTCCTGAGCAGACCTCCAGAGACCACACCACTAAAGCGCACTGACCAGGACCACACGGCCGCCAGCTGCGGCAGGAATGCACTGTGTGCACATGTCCTGTGCACAAGTCCCGGGGAGGCTGGGGTCATGGATGTGGGGGATCGTGGCCCTGCTTCCGGGGAAGGGAGAAGAGTGGCCTCCAATCAACAGGAGCCTGGCAGCAGCATGGCCAGCTCTCCAGAAGCAGAAAGTTAAATGGATGACACAGCCACTGTGGCCACTGCTGTGAAGAGGACAGCAGTCTGCCAAGCGCTGTGTGCCGTGGGGCCGTCCCCACCCCATCTTATAGTCGAGGAAACAGCAGGTCCCTCACCCACTGGTGCACAGCCACTCAGAAAGGCCAGGAGGACAGTGGGCCCAGTGGACGAGGTCAGGGCACAGGTCTGCTGTCCCCACAGAGCTGCTTGCGGGCCTGTGGGCTGGGGCCTGTGGTGGCCAGGACGCACGGCTGGGGTGCAGGAGGGCTGCCCTGGGCACACCCAGGAACTCTGGTGGCTCCCTCCCTGCCTTCATCTTCCTCCATTTGCCGCCTCTCTGCCCAGAAAATCCTCTACTCTGCAGACTCCTACACACCCCTCAAATCATGGCGTGGAGGTGCCCCTCCTTGGGCAGTGGCTCAGCCCTGGGTTTGAAGGTCTCCCACAGCTCCAGGGTCCTCAGAGCAGGATGTTTGGGTCCCCAGAAGTCCTGCCACCTCCCTGGAGGCAGGGAGTGGAGAGTGTGCCCTCAGGAGCCCTTCTGAGTAGGCTGCAGCCTCCGATGGATGCAGTTTCCGTGGGAAGCCCACGATCGCCCTAGTTATCCAGCTCTCCAACTGCTCAGGCTCATTTTCCAATTGCAACTTTATCTCTACTTACTGTCTTTACAGCAAGGGCAGGCGCATGTCGAGACAGGGTAAGTATACGGTGTCACAGATAACTGTGGGAGCAGCGGTGTGGGAGCGCAGGCAGCTGGGCCCGAGGGTGCCAGGCCTCCGCGCAAGGAGGGGCTGTGGCATGGTGGAGACACAGGGCCATGGAGGGAAGGTATGGTTTAAAGGCCAGGGACCCTGGGCCCCACAGGGCTGCCCCACCTGCGGGCTCCCCACTGCGCCCAGGCTCAGGCACAAACGTGGTGTGCAGTAATACGGGCGCCACCCCCAGGGCCAGGACAGTCACAGGGACGACAGGTATCTGAGAGCAGCCTCTGCACTGGCCCCAAGCGCCGAAGAGTGTGGGGCCCTCCTGACCTGGGCTGGGGCTGGGGCTGCAGAACGGCCTCGTGAGCCCCAACCCGTCCCCTGCGCAGCTACTGGAGCCGTAAGGCCCAGAGGTGGCTGCAGAGCTGGTGGGCAGGGTGCTCTCTGGGCTCCGCTCAGCAGCTCTCGGCAGGCGTGCCCAGCCCTCCTGCCCCTGCCAGCCTCCAGCAGGCAGTCTGGAAGGAGGAAGGAGGCCAGCCCGGTGTGTGCTGGGCCCTGGTGGCTTAAGGGGCCCATAGGGCCAGGGCCAGGAGGACAAGGGTGGCCCTGAGCAGATGCCTTGCCTCCCCAGTTGGCTGTGACTTCCTTTTTCTTCTTGGTCATGGTCCTTCGGAAAAGACCCTGCCAGAGGATTCTGAGCCCTGGGAGCCCCCAGCGTGGGCCCGGACTCCACTGGCCAGAGACTGTCACTGGGGCTGGACCCACTGCCCTCTGGTCTGGGAGGGAGGGGGACACTCTGCGTCCCGGGATCCAGCCCTGCAGCCCAGTGGGTCAGTCAAGGTCAGAAGGCAGCAAGTGGGGGCGGTGGGGCAGCCTAGAGACACCCTTCTCCCCACAGGCACAATGGGGTTTTCAATGAGGCTGGAGCACCAGTGCGTCCTGTGCATTCCAGCCTCAAGTGCTATTTCCAGCCCAGAGCAAGGAGCCTCCAGCGGTGCTCCAGGCCCACCTCATGTGGGGAAGGCCCTGGTCTGACACGGCCCCAGGCCTGCCTCCCAACCTCTCAGGTGGCCCAGCCACAGCCTGCTGACTGCAAGCCCAACCCTTGGGGGTCCTGGGTGCTCCCTCCACCATCTGCCATGAGCCTGCAGACCCCATGGACAGACAGCTCAGCACTGCGGGTGGCTCGTCCACTCTGTTCTCTTTGTGAGGCCGAGAGCTCCCCCTGAAGTCCTTGATCACCCACTTCCCTCCCTCCAGGCACTGGAGCCCCATCAAGCCCACTTCCCTCCTACCAGGCATGTTTGGGAACACCAGATGTGAAGGTCCTGCCCCTCCCTGGAGCCCCTTCCCTCTCTGCCTGTGGCCATAGCGTCTTGAGCCCCCCCAGCTGGCCCCAAGGCATACCACACCTGGCCCATGCCACCTCTCGGGGTGCCCAGCAGCATCCTGCACACCTGGCCTTTTCTGGCCGCCCCATGTGTGGCTGCTGCAGGGGGCTGGGACCAGATGGGGGTCCTACTCCTCTTGGTGATTCTTGAGTGGGTTTCCATCTCTGATACCCTCTATGCCCCACCCACACAATGTCCACATCTTCTGAGACCTGGATGGTGGGAGGCACTGTGGCTTATCCGTCGGCTCCTGCTTTGCTGCACCGGGACCACCCTCCCCAAAGGGATGGCATCTCGCAGAGTGTGCAGGTCCCGTACTTGGTGCCCCTGAATTGACCCTCACATTTGCTCCCCACCCCAGCCCCGGCCAGGCCCTCACCAATGGCCCAGTGGCTTCTCATCACCACAGACCCTTCCCAGCGCATCCCAGCCACCCTGTACCGGGTCCAGGAGGTCTTGAGGCCTAGAGGTCAAGCTAAGGAGGCTGGCT